TCTTTGATACTAGTCTCTTTGAGACACGGTTACAACAACCGATAGACACAAGCTTACGAGCTAGCCTAAGACGTAAAAGCTCTCGGAGCTTGTATTCCTCTGCGCATAGTGCATTTGTAGCTTTGCTACAGTAGTTTGACTACTTCTTCTGCACATAGTGCATAAGTAGCGTGGCTACAGTAGCTCGGCTACACACTTATACACATTTCGGATGAATGCGGGAAGTACTGTCAATGTACTTCATTACTGAACTACCGTGTTGGAAGGGTACGATGCTTATTTGCGACATCGTAGACAAGCTTCAAAGAGACCAATCTATACGCCAACGTATACGACTGCAGATTCCAAAGACACCGCCAAGTTATTTTTTTGATGCCGTAGTCCGACATCATGGACTACTAAAGGTATCATCAGCGATCGGGATCCGGCAAAATTTTATAAATTCTTTAACGACTATAATGGGTGTCAAGCTAAGCATGACGACCGCTCATAGAGCGCAAGCGGATGGTCAAACAGAACGCCAAAACTTTGTGTTAGAAGACGCTTTACGCTGTCTAGCATCTTACAGTGGATAAAATTGGGACAAGTTACTTGGTACGGTGAAATACGCGCACGCCACTTCAGTAAACGCGTCTACTAAGCTCACCACGTTTGAGATTGATACCGGAAGAAAAGTATCCAATCTGATTGCTCACGAATACAAAGGCTACGATGGTGCGGATCCACAATACATCTCAAAATTCGCCTCAAAGTTTGCCAAGGATCTCCAAGAACTAGTGCGTAAGGCACGCGACAATCTGAAACAAGATCAGGAGAGACAGAAAAAGTACTACGACCCAAAAAAACAAGCTTTACCTTTAGTGTCGGTGACTTAGTATTGCTGGATACCAAGCGCGAGAAAGCTATCCGGCACGTTTTGCACTGGCAACGACTGGTATAGGCGCGACCGCCAACGTTAAGTCGATTCAGGGGAGATGTCATGCCGCCGAGTTGTGCAACACGACTGAGCTGAATGTATGTTGAATAGGTTAGGGCGTCACAGGCTGACGTCACGGGCTGACGTCACGGGCTGACGTCGTTAGGAACATTCTAGAAGGGCATAAAATAATAGGCTTAGAGGTAGTACAGGGTAGCAAACTAAGGACCTATGTTGATTTAGTTTTTAATTTCCAAATGAACGACAAGTCCTTACAGTTTTGACACGCACAGGGCCAAACTGCTGACCTATAGAGGGCGCTCTGGCCCGTGCAGAAATGTCTTGCTCACCTTGTGTACCTGTCGGATAGACGGTTACGCTATTTTGGGTAGCAAAAGTCGATGTCAATCTTGACCGGGTTGGGTATGGGTGATACGCGTGTGAACCATTATTGATCGCGAGTACCCTAAATGCGCTCTTGTCAAGACACCGCGATCTCCTTGAGACTTGCTTTTTTTCAGATATGTTTGCCCGCAGATCTTTCGACTGGACCTTGCTTTACGTTGCTTTGCGTCCAATTGTAGTGGAAGTTGTACCAAGTGTTACTTGCACCTGACCAAACATCAGTGTAAAGCTTGAACAGGTGTTGAAGAAGTCTTGATCGTCGTGTGAAATAAGTGACTCAGCCTGGCGTAAAAGTCGCCTACTAAATAAAGTAAATAAGTCTGTTTGATATTTACAAAATTTAAAACCTGTGGATTGCATTTGTGCCACGTGTTACCTGCAACTCACGAGTCTATATCCTTGAATACTGAAATTATGATCACGTCGGACTGTACTCCCTGCCGCTAATCGCGATTTCGTGCGGTTGGACCCGATCAAATGCATATGCGGTCGCAAATGAAAACAAGTGCAATTGCGTTTGACAACATGTGCGATCGGGCTGCGACCATGAACATGTATGCAATATCATGAACGGACTTAACAATTTATCAAACACTAATGGCTTGTGCTGCACGCAAGGATTCAACGACATGATGTCGAAGGACTAAGGCATTTGCTGCCGTGCCACTAAGAACGGAGACCAACCTGAGTAGCTACTACAAGAGATATGTATTCATTTTCAATTTGCTCGTAAGCTATCAGCGTCAGCTTTAGTCGAGAAGGACCCATTCGTTGCGCATCTTCGTCATCTCTTACATTATACACGACTGAGCAATCCACGTCTTAGCTGAACCAACCTTCTCCCCACACCAAAGCAACAAGACGAACCCTCTTGCACCACACATCCAATTCATCTTCCTATCATCTGTAGCAGCATTTGTTGCGCTCGTGATAAGAGAAAGATACAGCATATTCGCCAGGACTCGCCGTCTTACATAAACCCTGATATAGCCAAGTATTCGTGCCAGCATATCAAATTTTCTACATTCAGTCGTATCAATTAAAACCTTAGATTCCTCAAACAAAAACGTCAACTTCTTTAAACATAACCGTCAACCTCTTGAACAAAAATGTCACCATTGCTCGCCGCATAGTGCTCATGGCTTCCGTAGTGTCCAATACTTCCGCAATTACAAATATAACGATTTCTGAGCAACTTAGTGACCAAATCTTTGATGACATTGCTTGACTTAGCTACAGCAGTGAACATGGATGTTGCTATTGCGGCACAACAAAATAGCACTACACTCGAGATCACTTCGGTTGTAGCGCCAGGCATACACAGTTTCCAGCCCGTCTCCCCCGCCGCATGTCTTCAGGTTCTTGATACAGTCGCTGCGACAAGTAGATCACGCAAAATCTTGTGTGGAGTCAATAACTTTGCGCTTGCAACAGTAACGGCGCAAAGTTATTGACTCCACACAGACGCATGTCACACTGCAGTCAACATTCGTTTAGTCGTCGCCCATATTTGTCAAGAGGGTGTCCTGCGTGACGGAGCATATTGTAGTTGTCATCCATATAGTAACCCGCCGAATTTACCCCTGAGGTTCAACACCACGTTACAACGGCACGCTTCAATCCGGAGCAAATTGTCGCCCCACGGGCGGCCCCTTTTAAACCATCATAGCTGACTCGCTTGCTCGCGGAGTCAAAGTGATTTGGAATGCCATGTCACTCAAGTTTTTCGTCCCCGACGGTACGACGCCTTTGTTTGGTCTTGCATGTAAATTTAGGTCGGTCTGCTGATTTGTCTTGCGGTATACGACTTTATGCATAGAGCTCACACATCTGTAGTACAAAACAATGCACTACTCTCATAGCAATATCAACATCAATCTTCATTTTCGTCTTTGTAGCGTTCAGTCCCATTTGGCTGTACATTGCGTGCGAGGGAGGCCACACTATCAGTCTGTTTACAATATATCTGATCTCATTGAACTTAACTGCAACGTCGCCACGCATCAATACAAATCCTGCTCAACAGCTTGCGTGCTAGGGCTTCCATCTGCTAAGACCGAGTGTTGTCCAGCGGTCAACACTGTTGATATCCCATAGGCGTTACCCGTTTCGAGAACAGCCCGTTTTCCTCGCTGCTTCCTACGCAGCTGAGGTGGTGGACCGAAATAGATCCGCGTGTGGAGAAGCCTCCACGACTGGCTACAGCGTGTTCTGGTCGGTCTGAGCGATGCTAACGTACCCTAATATAAATCAGTTGGGGGTTGTCGAGAGACGACGACGCCTGTTCGCCATATACCCAACGGCGGTTATGAAGCGGGCGCGCGCCTACTAAAACGTGAGGCTGCTACTGAAATTCGTAGCAGTGCTTCTTTTCAAGCGCTAGAAAGATGCTCAGAGATTGCCAAGCCCGATCATATATACATACGACTATGCAGTTGCTACTTTCCTACTTGCAGAAATGGTCGAGGCATTTTCGAGGCTACTTCATCCAACCACTATTTTGCTGTAGTGCACTCCTAAACACGTACTAAAAAAGGGTAATTAACCTGTGGAACGTTTGTTCATTTTTTGTTGCTCTTTTCTAAGCAGCCGGATCAGCTGCTTGTTTCCTTAAGCCGGATGGCGTGAAAAAGATGGACTGAATTTTTTTGTCTGGTTACTAACGCGACCAGGCATTTGTCCACTAGAGCTTTGACGTTTCTGAAGTTTATTTGCTCAATCACTCCAGATGGAGATATGATGTGAGATATGGTGACAGAAAGCAGAAGTTCCCTTTTGTAATTTGCTTTCACATAAAATGTGGAAACAGTTACGTCACGCTTCGTAAGCTTGATCTTGACACTTTTGATTTCATTTTGTTGGCTTTTGATCAAGCAGAATACAGAATTTGTTGCATTGTGAAATCTACAAATGACGATTAAGCAGAGTTGGTAAGGTGAATTTTGCTGCGTCTTCGCACTACTAGATTATGGCGAGCACAACGCTAAGGAAAGTAAAATAATGTGTCTTGCGTTTGCTAGTCGGACAAATACTTGTATTGCATTTTAATCGTCAGACACATGCATCAAACACTCTGCCTAACAGGACAACAATAATGCACATGAGTATAATGTCTTCAACGCCACAACCGAACGGACAAAAGGCTCCGGGAGGTGATAGCACGCGCACATGCAAGTCAGTTGGGAACCTCAGAGTCGGTAGGATACAGTGTCACTACGTAACCAGCAAACCGGCTGTCAGGTAGCGCGGTGCCGCAGCTATTGTCGCTGCCTCATACAAGCGATGCCAACTTTTACGCTTGATTCACTTGCAGTAGAAAATCACAATAATAATTTTAACGAAGAAATCATGCTCTGCTTGCACAATATGTATTTCATGCACAAAGAATGAGTCACAGACGAATGTAGCTCAGTATTACACTCCAATTTAGCTCGAAGCAATTTCAAGAGCTATATATATAGTGAGTAGGGGAAGAACGTTCCTTGCTCAAAGATAGTTCCTAATGTCTCGTCTGAATTTCAGAACCGAGCCATTATTGTAAGGTTCCAATTTCCGAAACTCTTCAAGTCTCATTCACAAATATTCCCACTAGGTGACAAGACGACGGAAAATTAGCAGCAGCAGCAGTCAGTCAATCAGTCAGTCAGTCAGTAGCAGTATAGAGTCAGCTAACCAAGACATGAGTAACCAAGACAAGGATGAACCGAAGGGGAAACCCTTGTTTCGTACGCTCACACCAAATGATCAGGCAGACCGTCTGCAATACCGTTCAATGGCCGTATCAGCAGCTCCACCGGCATTCGGCATGATTGGGTCACGCAACCCGCTCGAGCAGATGGATGCCGCCTTCTCTGGACCAATGGCGCTTAACAGAGGCTCGAAAAAGTCTACTGGTATCACGAAGGTGCCCGAGGCTGCGTCACCTTCCTTTGGCGCTCGTGTAGATCGTACTAAGTATGTGAACGTGACGCCGCGCGATCTACCGCCCGCGCCATTTCGCCTCGAGCTACATACTCATTTTCACATAAAGCTTGAGTCTACGCAGCGTGTGTGTGGTATAGTCGGAATCAAGCTCTGTGAGCTCGACACGGACTTTGAGTTCAAGGCTGACAAATGTAAATGGAAGGTCGAGTACCGTCGCAATGCGCAGCGCGTATACTTCAATATCGTCTTATTCAAGACAAGTAAGGAGGAGTACGTGCTTGAGGTGCAGCGTCGTGAGGGTGACATCACAGCGCTCATGTATTTGTACCATGAACTTAAGAGCTTGTTTCGACGCAGCCAGCTTCTCAGCGACAAGACTTCTACAACTAACGGCATCAAGCGGGCAGCCCCAAAGCCGCTGCCGAAGCTTCCTCTGTCTCCGGAGAGCATCCAGGATGGAGTTTCCGCGCTTAAGGGTCTACTTGAGAGCAAGTATGTTGACGCACAGATGCAGGGCGTACTGGGAGCTATCTCCATGTCAACCAGCGAGGAGACGCGAGCAGGAATGGCTGGACTTGTGCCTCAGCTTGTGTTGTTGGGCCAGCATCCCAATTCGAACGTGGCACGGTTAGTGAGCGTTGCGCTCGCACGGCTCTGCGACCACCCGCAGTGTCGCCAGGCATTTATTCAGTCCGACGGCTGGCAGTTCATTGTGAACTGCGCTGCTGGTGGCTCCAACGTAAAGCCAGAAGTGCAGCGAGCGAGTCTTCATGTGGTAGAGACTCTGTGCCCACTGTATTATGACGAGCTAGCCAAGTCCGACAGTGCTGGGCGCGTGCTGCAGCTTGTTCAGGAGTGGCAAAACATCGAGGATCCGCGTTTGAAGAAGCACGCGTGCAACGCGCACCGCGCACTGAAGGAGGCTGGTGTCCTCGCCTAAGTAATGTTAAGACAAACGAGGAGCAGCTACAGTATTTGCAGTGGTAATGCTTCGTGCTTGGCGGGCAGGAGTTAACCCGATTAGCAAAGTCACGTTGTCTTGCTTGTAAGATATACCCACTTTTTTGAGGTCCTCTTTGTTTTATAGCTGTGCCCTTTGCTCCTGATAGTGTATGTATCAGGCGTGGTTGTTCGTGGGCAGGATATGCTTGCTACCAATACTGCTGTTGAGTTTGCGTAAAGTACCATTGTTCTGAGTCAAGCTAATGTGTGGCTCTAATGGCGTTACAGCATTGTTGACCTCTAGACACACATAACGCATTTGGAAAAGCTTTCCATTACTAATACAATCCAGTCTCAAAGAATCTAGATGTGTCTTGCTAATTATGCAGACGCTTTCACATTCGACGAAATGTCGAAACAACCTCACGGTGGGATGCTTCTTGTATAACTCGAAAAGAAAAATATACGTTCCTAATCAAGGTAATTAATTAATCAGTCTTTCCGTATTATGAAAGAGTGCCTTGCTTTGCTATTGTAACAACATCTCCCAGCATCGCTTGCTGTAAGCCAGACTCTTCGTGCTGCCAAATGCACGGTTAAAACTATACGATCCGATGGTGTTTGCCCCCCTACACGACCTCAGCAGCGTCACCGGCAGGCACTATTTTTTCCACGGACCACCCTCCCTCCAATGTTTCGGTCGTCATGGTGATAGCAGTGTCAGACATGCTGTCATCATCCAAAAAGGTGTCCATTTCTGAGGCCTCGTCCTCGGAAAAAATCAGCTCTTGCTCCATTACATAGCCCAAAACCTGGTTCTTGACAGACCTAGGCAGATAAAACGGACATGCACCGGTTAGCGACAGTAACGTCCGCGCGCAAATTGCAAGTCATCCTTACGAGGGGAACCAAATGTTCACTGGGAGAAGCCAATGCAATGCGAATTTGCAATTTGCGCCACCAAATACTTCGCGCAGACCCAGATTGTCTGTTACCTCGCCCTTTAGACGGTCAATTTGCGTTGTTCCCGTTGTGATAACACTGTACTGGTCGCACATCATGCACATGGTAAAGAGCCCGAACAGTACAGCTTCCAGAATCAAACAAAGTACGCGGACGGCTCCGTATGTGGGGCATCTAGTGTCGCATCAACACACCAGTAGCAAAATTAGCAGCGCAACTCACTCCAGACTAAAGTACTACATTATAATGCTTACGATTCGTGAATGCACTTGGCGTAACGGAAAAACACGAGCGTCAGCGTGTAGGCGGATAGAATGAACACGTAAAAGATGAAGAGTAGGAAGAACTTGTGGTTGCCTAGGCCTACGCAGTTGTTCACCCAGGGGCAATGGTGGTCCATCTTGATGACACAGCGATCACAGATCGAGCAGTGATGTGCTCTCCCCGGTTTAAACTGACGACACCGACGACACGTTCGGTATCTCTGCTCTTCCATTCTACAGCAAAAGAACTTCCCATTGTCAAGCAGCAGCATAAGCAGCAGCATTTTTCACAACATTGCATATCTGACCTTGCAATTTCATCCTTTGATGCATGTGCCAATGCCAATGGTAGTGCCGATTCTGGAACAGCTCCAGGGTCCGTCAACATGGCTATAATTTGTATTTGAAATAGCAACCACATCAAGAGTCAATAGATTTTCCACTTTGGCATTAAATCCTTGATAATCTAGAAACCTTTTCCGTGTGAGACAAGCGCCAAAAAGCAAACACTTGTAAACAAAAGTATATGCAATAGACCTAAAGGTGATAGACCCATCCAAGGGTACACTACCACGCCCTAACGTAGACAATAGCAATGTTACATGATTGAGAGGAAGGTTACAAGGTCTTAAAACCTACCACGATGGTACATTCAGCATAGAGCACAAGGAGCCAGGATATAATTGCACATACAATGCCACAAGGGTCTGTATTGCACCAAAGACGCACGTTAAAGCCTGTGCCACACGACGTTGGTTGCTTCCGCTGGTCCAAAGACGGCATTCCAGCTTACAATCGTGTGTTTGCTGTTTACCTTCATTATAGCATGTAAAAGTCAATTTCATAGGGATGTTGACTTGACCATCACTCACATCTATTCTCTTTCATAGTTAGATACATATCTGTGTAGCCATGCAATTGTATAGGTTCGAGATATGAGTCATTCCCACATCTTGCCATGACGTCCAAGAAGACTGCGCAGACGTATTGTCGCATTGCATTAAGCGACTTGACTCACGATCAAATCGCACAATGGACTGTACGATCTGTATCTGGAAGCTCGCTTCATTTTGAGCGTGTGCAGCCTGAGATTGATACGTCAACTGGCTCTAGTTTCTCAGACATGGCTACCACGACACGGCGTCTACAGATGGCTGCGCTGGACGAGCGATTAAGTGTTGGTCTTCGCTGTGGAACGTGTGATATTTCCGAATTTACGTCTCTAGAAGATCAGCATGTGCACTTCAAGTCGGTAGCACACTGTGTAAACCTCAAACGTCGAGCTCGCGGTCTGCCGAGTCTGTCAGAGCAGGAGGCGCTTCAATATAGAGAAAAACATAACGACAAGAATGAAAAGGATAGAGATAATATGGACGGAGGCTATGCGTCTTCTTCTTCGTCTTCTACATGGTCGGAAGAAGAAAATAAAGAAGCGGTTGCAACGTCAGAGCCAGTGGTCGAGTTTACGGATGGCAAAAGCGTGTTTAAAGTGGGTACATCTAACATTGCTACAATGTAGTGTTGGATTGAAGAGAAAACTGTCTTTTGATGCTTTTTGTATTGCTTCTACAGGTTTTTAAGAACATTCTGCCGGATGCTGAGGAAGAAAATTTTAATCCGTACACGTCACTAGATAAGATTTGCGCATCCAAGTTCCGTTGGGCGGTGTTTCTGCTACGTAGTGGTCGTTTTGCTGGTGCTGTATTTGATAAAGACAAGGCGCTGTGTCATAAAACCTTTCAGCGGTATACGACAAGACGGAAGCAGGGTGGCGCTCAATCTGCAAGTGACGCTAGTGGCAAGGCAAAGTCTGCAGGAGCTACATTGCGACGGTATAATGAAGCAGCGCTGAAGCAAGATGTGGCATTGCTGCTGACAGAGTGGAAGGAGATACTGAAAGATGCAGAGTTGATTTTCCTGTCAAGTGGGAAGACGGAGCGTGCAACTTTTTTCCCAGAGAAAAATGCAGTGCTGCGGCCAGGTACGCTGCTCTACGCTGGTATTGTTTACTGACGATGTCGCTGATTTTTTGCTGATACAACTTGTCTTCTTCAGACGACAAGAGGTTGAAGAGAATTCCGTTTGCTACATTCAGGCCGACATTTGAAGAGGTGTGCCGAGTGCGTTCCGACCTCAGCAGCGTTTGGTTCTCACCCCTTGAAGCAGCAACGATATCTCTTATCGATAGCACGAAGAAGTTGAAGAAGAAAAATAAAAACACTCACGAAACGTTACCCGAAGTAGAAACAAAGACTGACAGCATTCAGAAGGACGTAGAGGCGGCAGAAGTAGAGGCCCCTCGCATTGTTCAACTGGTGCATGACGGCGACTTGAATGGGATTAAGGAGCTACTGTCAAATGCCGAGGAAAGGGACATCGAAGTGAATGCGGTCGATTGCAAGTGTATGACAGCGCTTCACCACGCTGCTGCAAAGAATGCTTTATCGATGGTGGAGTGTCTGCTAGAGGAAGGGGCAAACCCATCCCTTTTAGACCTTCACAATCGACCTCCATACTTCCTGTGCAGCTCAAAAGAGACTCGAAATGCATTTCGTAGGTTTATGGGGGAGCACCCAAACATGTGGAATTACGCAATAGCACAAATTCCTGAAGGACTGACGAGTGAAATGGAGCAGCGCAAAAAGGAAAAGGAAGCTGAAAAACGAAAGAGGGCCCGCGAACGTAAGAAACAACAGAAAAGGGAAGCAGCCGATCAAAAGCGAGAGGAACTTGCGCGTCAGGCGGAGTCGGAGCGCAAGATCGCAGCAGGTCTGGCTTGTGATTTCTGTGGCAAGTATGCTGGAAAGTCTCCGTTTACTCGCTTAGAGTACAAGTACTGCTCAACGGACTGTGTCAATGGACACAAGCGGCATCTGATGAGTGAGGCAGCTCTGCGTCGACTCGGAGGTTAACATTTACAATGAAGAAGATTTCAGGACTTACAGACGGGTCAATCGGTGGTAACATCGATTAACTAGATCTTTCGCGCAGCAAGTCATTCTCTGACCCCGTTCAATGCAAGTGTGAAGGCAATTTCATGCTCGTAGAATTTCTGTCAAGAGATAGTAAAATCCGACTCAGGGCGACGTGAAGCTCGCTCAACGACGGAGCTTCACGTCGCCTCGAGTCTGATTTTAATCGGATCTAGCTTCTCTTACGTGAGCCTAATCCGATTCTAGCCAAAACTTAAGTCCAGTAAAATTTAGTATTTTTCACGTTATTCATGAAAGGAAGGAATGGGTTCACTTCATAAATGGGTTAATTTGAGCTAATAATTATCAGTAGTCAAAGAAATTCACGAAATTTCTAAATTTTTAGCAATTGAGCATACAAAATTGTATAAATTTAGTTTTCTATTTGAAACAATGGCGTCGTCTGGAGGAAATTTGAGCAATGCCGACTTTGCACGAATGTTCTGGAAGGAGACACATGAAGATGATCATAGCAGCGCATACACAAGACAGGATGAGACCTCTGTCAATGACAATGATAACGAGTTGAATTCAATCCAAGACGCTACTATGCGACGTCGTCAAGAAGAAATGAACGTTTTAGGCTCGGAGCAGGACGTAAATAAAGCTTCACGAGGCTCTGGCTTGGAATTTCATGACGATATAAAGCCAAATTATGAAATACGTACAGGTTCAGACTCTAGTCTGGATTCTAGACCGAGTACAGGGTCTGGAATTGGTCTCGAAGCTGTCGAGACGACGGATGGAGGCATTTCAGCAACTAAAACGATCACGACCAAGACTTTTTCATGGGAAAAGCACACGAAAGGTTTTGGTGCTAAGATGCTGGCAAAAATGGGTTTTAAGGGCCGTTTGGGCAAGAAAGAGGACGGTGTGTCGGCCACTATTGAAGTCAAGAAACGTCCTGCACAGATGGGCATGGGCTACGGAGACTTTGTGGAAGCCAGCAATCTCCAACAGAATCGTAAGCTACAAAAGGAGCTAAAAGGAGAAATTGTAGAAAAAGAGACGAATGGAAATGCTCAAGGTGTTGTGGAAGATGACACTTTGTGGAGAAAGAGGAAGGTGGTGGCTGGCCGAAAAACACACAAACGAGCAGCAGAGTTAATCCAGGAAGCTCAGGACATGAAGAGGCAGAAGAGAAGTGACGTTGTGCTTGATATGCGGGGACCTTCTGTACGCGTGCTGTCGGACCTAGCAGCTGCCTATGATGTGGATCCTCTACGTGTGGAAGCAGCGAGACCAAAGTTAGGTGATGAGTTGATTTACAATGTGCAGATGGTAGTGAATGTAACGCAAGGAAAAATTGTTGATTTGAGCCAAAAGATTGATGCTAACACGGTAAGTGTTGCTACGATGAAGAAAGAAGCGAAGATGATCACTGCACAGCTTAACGTGGATGACGTTAGACTTCATCAGATGCAAGCTATGGTTGAGCAATTGACAGTGCTGGCGTCACTGCGTGCGCAAGCTTTAGAGATACTATCAGTGGAACCTTTGTTGTCACAATTGTGGAACATTCGTCAGAGTTTCCCGCTTGAATTTGATGCACACGAGTTGCAACAGCTTATGCCGTCACTCTGTATACCTCCGCTTCGAGCATTACTTACCGAATCGAACCTGCTTGACCACAAATCAAGCGATAGCGTTGGGCTGCAATTCCGCTTGGTCCAATCATTTTTGACCGAGCTGCCGAGCAATAGAGCCACTGCCGATGCAACCAAATCAGCTAGTGTACTCCCCGTCATTCGTGAGCAGACCATGGTGAAGGGTGAAGAATTGTACAATCTTATTCTTGAGGAAACGTTATGGCCTGCAATCGTTCAGTGCGTAAATGTGGAATGGCAAGTCAAACTGGCTCCATCCGCTTGTGTTGATGTATTTCTAAAGATCAGACCATACCTTTCTAGTGAATTTGAGGATGCATTTCTTCACCAGTTGGTGCTTTCTCGGCTGAAGAAAGAGTGTCATCGCTGGGACCCTCGTTCAGATAAGGTACCCATTCAGGATTGGTTGCTTCCCTGGCTACCTTACGTCGGCTCTGCAATGAATTCTCTCTACCCTGAAATTCGGTTGGCTCTTGGTAGCGCATTGAATCAATGGCATCCGTCGGACTTGTCAGTGCTTTCCGTTTTGTCTCCGTGGAGAAAGCTTTGGGGCGAACATGAGTATGGAAAATTTACTCACCGGAATATTGTCCGTAAATTAATCAGGTGTTTGCATCGTGAGTTTGAGATTAATCCAGAACGCCAATCGTTGGAAGTTTTGACGTGGGTGTTAGCATGGAAGGACTACCTTCCCGATCGTCAGTTGATTGCTCTTTTAGAAGGCGAGTTCTTTTCGAAGTGGATCAAGGTGTTGCGGAAATGGATTGCTGGGTCACCCAATTTGATTGAGCTAGAGAAATGGTATTCTGGATGGAAGCTTTACTTTGAGAAGAACAGTCTAGCAGCAAATGAAAGACTGCTGGTACATTTCCACGGAGCTCTCGTGCTGTTGCAGGCGGCGACCGAGTCAGTTGGCATGCCAGGTGAAAGCAGACGACCAGTTCCAGAACTAAATGGAAGCGCCGCCACGAGTTATCAAGATGCATTGGCGTTGGCACGAGATGAGACGGCGAAGGAATTGCCAATTCAGGAGGCAAAAATGTCGCCACGCAGTGTTTCTCGCAGCGTTAGCTTGAAGGATGTCATTGAAAACCTGGCAATCACTCACAACTTGACTTTCATACCAAAGGGGTTTTGCGATGGACAACAAGTTTACCTTTTCGGTAAGCACCAGATTATTATAGAGCAGGGTGTAGTCTTCAAAGAGGTATCTAAGGGTGTGTTCAAGCCGGTAGACCTCGATCAATTACTTGTGTAGTAAATAGTCCGGTAGGTAGTGAATACCAAATCAAGTTTCAAGCAAACTTTCATGATAGACAAAGCTTTGTAAGACAAACGAAACAAGAAGAAATAGGGAAAAACGGAAAAAGCAGTCGAGCAGGTCAGCTGCGTTGTGCAACCAGAGCCTACTCTACCGTTTTCTCAATGGATATGGAAACTTACAACTTCCTACCGACCCTCATACCCGTGCGTCAAGATCACGCTCAAACAATTTGCTCTTAGTACTTGCTCTCCCAGTCGGGGGAAAACAAACACCAAGGTAGAGCGACGCAAACACTTGATGTAGTCGAAAGGGTGTAAAATAGCGCCCGGTGCCGCAAAACACGCCCAATAAATAAGCACTCCTCATACGCAGGAAACAAATGGCATCCGATCGGCAAACGCGAAGCATTCACTTTCTCACTCGTTTTTTGCTGATCGCAGAAGGCGACCCGCAAACAGCAAGAAAAGACGAATTCAATTCTGCACATTTGTCAGCAAGTCGATAAGCTTTGGTCCACATGCACTTTTAGGTTCCATCCAGCATCGCATCAGTAGTTGCAGAAGGCAAGCAACCAATTACGAACAGGAACAGGACCAAATCGACGTCAACCACGCTTAATTCGACTGCAGATCCATAATCACCTTCTGGGTCCACGCCGCCAGCTGTTGTGCCTGAGGATTCTGCGCATTATTAGCGCACTCCCCCACAAGCTGAACAACGAACTGCTGGTGAAACAGCGTTTCCACCGCCTTGCCCATCGCCTGGCCCATATCACTTTGCAATCGCACAATACACAATATAGCAATTAGTAAACTACCCACTATCGGTACGCACACAAATCAATCACGTACCCAATCAAACCCACCGCACCAGTCGTTACAGCGTCTGACCTCGTCGCTAAATCGTTTGCAAGCGTAGCCAAAAAAGCTCCGATCTGTGGCGCGCACTCCATAAGCATAGTCGCCTTGTTGACAGCGCCCAGACCCTGCACAATGCCCGTTAGCGCCTCCAGCACGCTCTCACGCAGCTGATTCATGTACTCCACCACTTCTTCATCGTCTGTCGCAATCGATCCGCATGCACCCGCAGCCTGCAAAATCATCTGAAGCGATGACACGGCGTAGCGCTCGTATTCGCCCTCAATAGCCAGCGCAATATCGCCAAAACATGACAGCACTGGTGGCTTCACCGAGCGGTTAAGCATTGGATTCTTCAGAATTTCGATAAGAGCAGCTACAATTTCGTCGCACAGCGGCAGGACCTTGTTCTCTAGAGCTCGGCAAAGATCGCCTACGACGCCCACTGCAACACTGCAAACCATGTACTCCTCGCTGTTCTTTAAACCCATTAACACGACTGGGCCGAAATACTGCATGTACACTTCAAACTTGGAACCAACAACGTTAGCCAAAGCACCCGCAGCCATAAATGCTTCTTCGGCAGCTGCAGCATTGCGGGTAGAAAACACTTGGAGTAGTGCCTGCATGATACGATCTGCTAGCGGCTCAATATCAATATTCAGCTTCTGGATGGCAGCAATCAAGACACCGCAAAGCAATGCTTGCAGACCAGCCTGATCATCGTGAAGGCTGTCTGGATTTTCAATCAGGGTCTTAATGCTTTGCTCTAGGCGTTCAAGCACCACTGGAAGACGTAACATAATATGCTCATTTACCTCATCAGCACCAGCTTGCACCAACACATTCAACGCCTCATACGCTGACCCGCGGAGATTGCTCTCAGTAACGTTCGGTCGGTTGCTGGTCTCAAGCAGCTTGTCAAAAAGCGTATTGAAGTACGGAGTCAACATGTGCGCAGCCGCCTCTGACTCCTCAAATGCCTTTACAATGTTGTGGATGGCATAACAAACATTGTGCGATACACGAGGCTCCTGATCCAGCCCCTCGAGTAGGAGCTGCATAAGCCCAGGCAGCATCTCGCCGCTGATGCATCCGTAATGTAATTCGCAGATACGACCAAGTGTCCAAGCCGTTGTGTCACGAACCAAAATGTGGTCAAACTTCATACAGCTCATCAGAAATCCAAGCGCTTGACGCACAAGTGGAGCAATCTTAGCCGATTCGGGGCCGTCTAGAATCGAGCCAAATGCCATGATAGCAGCCTCTTTCGGGCGCCACTCGTTGCTCTCAATATTCTGTGTGATGAACGTCATGGTAAGGTCGACGCACGCATCACCTACCACCTGGGCCACCAAAGCAAGACAAGTCGCAGCAGCCATCGACAGGTTCCATGAGTCTTCATCCTGATCATCCTCCTGCTTCTTTAACGTTTCGGTGAGTATGGGAATAAGGGTGTTTAAAACAGTTTGTACGTAGTAGTTGCAAGGAATGAAGTCGGTCCGGCCTTCAAGCTCAGCGTAATTCATCTCCTCGATCAAATCAAGTTCCACATCGCACATGGACGACCAAAACTCGAGCGATTGCAGGCCTACCTCATCTTGGTCGTTCGTAATAGCGTTAAACGTCAATTTGCATAGCGTTTCCATGTACTCAGCAAGGTATTCGTAGTACATCGTTGCGATGGCAGCAATACACTCATAGGCCACCACACGGTTGCGCAGATCCGTAGACTGCGTAGCTTCACAGATCTTTTGCATAAGGTGGTCGCGCTCCTGCTTGCGCTTAAAGTTCTCGCTCACAAACTCTAGACTGTTCCGCAAAGCCGTCACAGCGGCAAGACGGATAGCGGGGGGACGATCGGCTCGAATGCCATCCACAATAGCCGTGAGGATACGATTAGTGTCTTGCTCGTCAATCGTGTTTTCCTCGAGTTCATCGCACAGGTAGCCAAGACACTCGAGCGTGGCATGAATGCAGCCTTCACTACCACTAGTCACATTTTGCAGTAATAACTCGAGCAGAGTAGGCCACTCCTTAGCAGGTAACTCGATGCTACCGATTTTGGCCACTAGCTGGGCACTCGTATGGCGAGCCACAGCGTCACTAGACTGAAGCACGCTAAGCGATCCATCCTTGATTTGTGTGCGTAATGCTGGATCCATGGCCATCCAGGCATTAATCTTCTGCTGCTGCAGTACATCATCCTTGGCGTCCAATACATTTTTAAGGTATAAACCGGCAGCTTGACGGCCAACAACAGCAAATTCTTCCGAGGCTAATGCTTGTACAAGCATCACCATAAACTGTCCCATTTGTTGTTGCAATGCATTATTCAAAAACTCTTCTGCTTGCTTTCGCAGCGTTAAATCTATCAAGATACAAAGTCATATACAAAAATATGAGCACGAATATAGCAATAAATAATCGAGAGACAAGTAGATAGAAGAAGACACACCTGGACTTTGAGTATTTAATAGAGCTGTTGAGATATCCATTATAATACTAAGTACGAGCTGGAGAATAGAGGAAACAGAGTGCAGCGATACACACACACGCGGGGGAGAAGAGGAATGGAGGAGAAAAGGCGAAACCACTTCCAAGCGTCGATTGGTCAATATTAACACGATTTCAAGCACTGAGAACATTCGGGTTGACTCATGGTGTACAATACACCCGGGTTTCTATTCTAAGGACCCGGGTAAAACATACTTTGCTTCACTACATGGTCGGGTTGCTTGACAACTCGTTTTCAGAAAAGACGTATCGGTATTATCGGTAGAAAACTGAAATTGGACAAGATTTACAAATGTAAACCCATGCAACTGACAATTGTACTACAATCTGAACACTGCAGAAGCCGCATCGTCACTTGCGTTGGCTACAGAGCTAGCAACGGTATTGACTTCCGATACTTGAGTTGTGGTATTAATCATATCGCATGTGACTTGTTGACGCCCTAGCTGCATGCTCATTGCAAACCGTTTTCCTATTCTTTGACGCGTGCATTTATTTATTCGACGATGTGACCCATGTCTGTGCTTTGCAATGTCTTCGATCACACCTTATCTATTGTGGTGCATATTACCGCTTGCATTTACGATTCTTGAAGTGCATGACTCCGCTTCATCAACTGCAAGACGATATACTCGAGAACAAGACCAAAAATGTTTACACTAGATGAATCGTTCACTGATGCATGCATGGGCTAACAGCGTATACGTTTTCAAATTTGCACAAATGTTCCAATTCAGTTTTCTTAAACCGACACTAGATCGAATTCCGATGACGTCAAGGCAGTATCAAGTAGGCACGTATGCTAATCATGTCCAACATTTACCGGCATTGTCGTCCTGTAGGCACTTTATAGTGGCACAAGCAAACCGTTTGTATCCTCTACAATGTTCATGTCCGAGTGCAGACACGCAGCAAGTTCCAGCTCGCACTTGTTCGCAAACTTGTAGCCGTTGAGATCGCAAACAGGTAAAATAACATCAGGGCAGACCATCGCGCACTTTTCACTTGGAGGAGCGGGGTTTTCCATCATCGCATCTCTGTACTTCTTACAGTAACCGCGTCTGTACTCGTCCCAGACGTCTTCCTTCGGTCCTTGGCACTGCGCCACATCCATTTCGCATTTATTCGAATATTCCTTGCCGTGTGCATCATACACGGGATCATATTGGTCTAGTGCACACAATGTTGGGGCATTTTATTTCCGTGGGAATTTCCTGAAATCCATCGTACGGAAAGTTTGCTTCCAAATAAAAGCATCGACTGTCTGGCGCTAGCGGATCACCAGGCACCAAACCACTGCCGCTCTTATCGCACGCGTTCCACGTCTTCATGCATTTGGTCATCTCAGTGGTACCATTGGGATAAACCACGGGATGGTTAAAGCCACAACATTCAAAGCTGCAAGAGCTTTTACGGTAGCCTCCAACTTTTGGCGCTAGAGTGTCGTATGAATACGGATTGGCAGCAGGGACACTGCAAGGAATGTCGGGCGCGACTGAATAGTCTGCGTGGACAGTGGTGACGGCAATGGCCACCAAAACGAGGTCGACTGGAAACTTCATCCTTGATTGACGCAGGGTTTGCTTGTAAATTGGATAATGCTGTTAGCGTCACAGATTGATTTGGAAAAACTCACGTTACCCCCTTCCCCACATGTCCAAACTAATCTATACATGAAGTTTGCATTGCATTCAATCATACCACTCACTTGAATGATTTTCCTACGTGCATTGCATGACTCTGAGACACCATTTCAAAGCCATTCTAATCCAACGTGAGTATCAAAAAAATGTCTGTGCACGCATGTCGTCAATCACGGCATTTACCTCTTCCATCAAGTCTTGTTTCAAATCAGTGGTACATTTCTACACGATTAGCCCTTCTCAAAACTTGGTGCATCATGTCCCAGTGGAGACAGCACGGAGCTTGCAGGCAGTAGGGATTTGCCAACAGACGCATGTTGCAAAACTGTTGACCCTGCATAACACATTAAAGCTTTGAGCACCACCACCTTGATCTATACAGACAGCATTGCTCTGTTTTTAGCCATACTAGTTGCTCATTTTCCATCTGGAATACGAACCTATCTATCCATGACGATTTTGAATGGTCCTTAATCTCCAAATTTTACCTCATGAAGACGACCTACTTCAACAAACTGTTGATCCTGATCTATTACTTGTCAGGACGTTGTCACTGTCAATGACGGATAACAGGACCATGGTGAGTAAATTAGATTGGTAACACATGTCGTCAATGAGAAACTAGCAACAATACGAACCTATCGTCTTATTGAAAGTAGCATGCAAAGCAGATGGAAACGAAGGTGCCCCTTGTTATACATATAAAGCTTTTCCATTTTACTCCTCAAAAGCTCATTTTCTATACTTATGCACTCCAAATCCAAAGAAATCAATGACAATCGTAGAAGTATTTCGACATACAATAAAATAATGATCCGATAATACCAACCATTTTATTTTATTTCTGGGTATATCTGCATGCTCATGTTGCCTCATGTTGGCTGTCTCCACTATATTCCTGATTCGTCTTGTCTCGTCTTCCACTTTTTTTTCAATTGATGAATAAAAGCTCGCGTCGGTTACATGCAACGTAGCTCAAAAAGTGCCGTTTTCCGACGGTAGCGTTTTACCAACGACGACCGCCAACATCACCGCCACGGCGATCATCCCAACGCGAGCTTTGCCGTGGACGACCCCCGCTACTAGAGCACGGTGCGCTTGAACGTTGAGCAAATGGCCCGCTGCTACCTGCGTTGCGTTGGTATGACGTAGAACGGGAAGTACTTGACGCTGGAGCAACAACTGCCTTCATCTTGAAAAACTGCAACGCTTGGGACAATGTCGGCAGGATGGACGACTCAATGCGACCGAAAAAACGATAGCCGGCTGACTTGACCTCCAAGTGACAACTATGAGGTGTTTCACGAGCAATATACGTGATGGAAAAACAACCGGGGAACTTGTTATACACATGAAGAGCGTACGGAATACGCGAAGGATGCTCCTTTTTCTGCTTAATTAAGTCTTCCTCAACGCTTTCCTTCGACCCGTTCTTGTAATACTTGTAACGAACTACATCATCCACCAAACTGTTCATGGGATCCACAAAACGAGCTATCAGCTCGTCAATATTCTCGTACTTCTCCTCCTTGACAATCAGCGTCTGACCAATACGAGCATTGGAAGGTTTATCTTTTTCTTGAATATCAAAGTGACGGTACACACCATCCAGCATCTTCCACGTTAGCGTGAGATGGTCAGTACCAAAGGTACTAGGTCGAATGACTACTTCTCCGACAGACTGCTCTCGCAGATACTGCATCGCTATCTGACAATTAATGTTGCGAAACAACGGATGTGCGATCTGGCGTTTTTTGCGCCTGGCTGGGTGACTGCCTAGACCAGAGGTGGCTTGGGAAAACGTCGCTTTGTCTTCCTCGACATGGGGTTCGTTCAAGAGACGATCAACACGCTCCATACTATCGGTCTCAACTAGTTTCCCATTTGTGTAACGCGGAAATCGGTCTGGATAGAAGCACATTGACATATCTATCAGTGAGCGCCGATTACAACCAAGTTGCAGCTCAAAGCGCCCTTCACGATCCGCCTTAATCGCCAATATCTTGGCGTTAACTGTAATTCCCTTAGGAAAACCCTGCGGACGCACATCTATCAAATAGTCCGGTAGTTGCTCACGATGCAAACTTGAGCGCATACCGCTCTGCAAACGAACACGAACAAACTCGTCACCTGACATATGCAGCAATGTAGCAGGCACAATCATTCCAACACGCAGTGTCTCTCGCGTTTCACCATTGAGCAGGAAGAAAAGGTCTTCATCCTTCGGTACCTGATATTCTCCACGCTTATCAAAGTACGGGTAGCGCAGCTCGCGCTTAATGTACTCAAGTGTCAGCAACTTTGGCCCCTTCTTTTGCAACTCTAGGCGGCCAGCATATGCGGATAGATCCAGCTCAGACAACACATCTTGTATTTCTGCATCACCGAGTCGAGTGTTAGGTGGGGCATTTCGGCTTCGAATTGCAGATGCTGACTGGTACATCGTGTCTTCCACTGCGTAGGAATAATGGTTCGGATCGTACATATCAATTGTCGAGTTATTGTTTGCATCGCCACATATTTTGACCGCCATGTAATAACTTTCCGGGTGAATACGCGTGTCATCCAGCGGATTTAATGGAGCTTCACGCAATGCGTCCCGCTCGCGAATTCGAATAAACCCAGCACAGTTGCGATACACAATTTTGCCAACAAATCCCTTCGACAGCAACTCTTGACGACGCTCGACATAGTTTTTTGCACGAACTTTATCTAGTACAAATGCGGCCTTTACAGGACCCAAGCCACAAATGAACTGCAACTGATAGGATGTGTGCTTGTGGTTAGCTAATAGGTTAATGTCAACGCCGTACTTGTTAATCACTTGAACAAATACGCGATCATATTCCTTCAGCAAAAGATCCTTTACGAGGGAATGCTGCATCATATGAACGTTCAAAAACAATAGTTCCCGGCCACGACTGGGTTCATTAAATGCAACGTTTCCCCACATCGCGCAAAGCTCGGATGCTGGATTTCTGAGATAGCGTCCCAAGCCAATTGCAGCACGTACATACTCCGATTCCTCAGGGAACTCTTGATCTGCACGTCGAGACCGGCTAAACATGTTCGGAACATCATCTTTCAGGAATACAATATCCAGAAAGTCATGGCCATCGCCGTTCCCAAAACGCGAGGCATCATCTCGACCTAACAAGCGTCGGACCTCATCTACGACACCACCCATATCCATACACTTCATTCCAGCCGACACGTTGATGACAACTACATGAGTTTGTTCGTGTTCGGTCAAGAATTTCAGTAACGTCCCAGACAACTTCTGGATGCTGTTTACATCTCGTTTGCAGTACCCCTCCGTCTTGTCAACCATTTCTCCATTCACGTCTAGAGCCACGATGTGTGCAATCGAATCCATGGTGCTCTCGACCCAAATTGAAACAATGAACGGATCTACGCCATCGGCCGGCTCATACGGCCGGACAGATAGGCGTTCTCGCAGCGCATTTCCGCACATTTTGACGACCACATCGCGAGAGGCCACTGTCAAGTCACGTTTCAGCTCGTTTTCAAATGACACTATCATAAAGTTGTTAGTCGCCTCCTGGAGAACAAGATGTCGTTGGCTCTGCCACTCTTCATCCGAATTGCTTGGCAACATATAGATCGGCTCCAGCGGGTCCATCAGATCCTGGGCCTTCTCATTGATAATCACAATTGTCAACAGTCCTTCCTTTTCAGCTCGAGTGAGTTTCAGCCATAAATCGCCTGCCTCAAACACCTCAAGAACTGGCATCTTTTCAATGTATTGCAAGCCGTGACAATAATGAAACTCGTCAATTTCTTCCCGCCCCTTTGCTGTTGCCTCCGTGATCAACACAGCGTTCTGACGATACAGCTCACGAATGCGCTTTCGGACGTTAGGCTCAGCTGCAACTTTACTCGCGGCAATGTGACGAGCACCTTTCATCACATCATCTACAGTTGGAAACTCCTTTGTCGTGTACTTCTGAGCCAAAACACCAGGACTCTCTTCTGGGGTAGGAACATCAACAGTTGACTCTTCATGCTCAACACCAGCTACTATACCGCCTAGTACAGAAGCATTCATCGTAAATGCAAGAGATACTGGCCGCAATCCAGCCTTTATGCAGATCTGATAGAAGGTTCGGCGGACTGGACGACGATACTTATGTTCTCTGCCTTCCTTGTCCTGACCACTTGATTCCTGTGCATCCAGAGCAAAAAACTCTGACAAATCCTTATACGTCTTTTCATCAGGTGTACTAAATAGTTGTTCGTAACATTTGCGCACAAAAGCCGACTCTTTCGCACTTGAAGAGTCGACCACACGCTGAATGCCGCTCTGGAGCGATCTCCGCTTTCGCTCCAATTTGTCCCACTTTATATCAAGATCAAGGATTTCGTACAAGTTTTCCGTATGTAGGCCCACAACTTTCCAGTACTCTTTGCAGTAACGCTGGACAAACGCCGGCTCGAGCTTCTCGTCATGGTAGAAACGCAAGACAGTGTCAATTGCTGATACAATTTCACCGCGCGATGCAGCAGAATTGCGCTGATTCCTTCGCTCAAGATTTCGAATAATAAAGTCACTGATCCACTCAGACTCCTCAGCACGATCCTCTGCGTCTGGGAAATCGCGATTCTGGTAGATATACTGGTATCGCTCCGGCATATCGTTGTCGCGTATGGCGATGACGTCTGAGGTCATCATGTGTTCCTTTAACACACTAGGCTCAAACTTCTCTAGCAAAATGGTTTTCTTCGACTTTGCAGGCATTTTTTCAGGGATCTTACCGCTTGCAGCCTCTAAAAATCCATCCATGTCTCCGAACAGCTCCTCGGCTTCTCCCATCTGGTATACCGACGGTCCCTGCATCGATGCTGAGATCGGTTCCTGTTTTCTGCGGCGGCGCGGACCCTCGCGTCCTTCTTCATCGTCGTCTACAATGAACTCGTCAATGTCGTCGCTTTCGTACTCGTCGTTGCCGAGATAATTGTTCGCACGTTGTGGTGCCGAGTCTTCTTCCTCTTCGTCTGAGTCACCAAACATCCGATAGCTCAGTTCGCGCGACATGAGGCCAGAATCATCGTCGGTCTTAACATTGCGAGACGAACGTCCCATGTCTTCATCTTCGCTATTACTGTGTGTTGGACCTGTGTCCATGCCCATATTTTCGCGCACGAGCAAAAGATCCTCGTCATCAATTTCTTCCACCTTTTGTTTCAACCGCTTGAGTTTTTTCTCTTTTTTACGTCGACGACGACGATAGCGAGCTAGTCGTAATCAACACAATCAACACAGTAAAAAATTAATACACACATTCCATCCACAACAAGTAGGTCTCCTTAAAACTGCAACTACTCATGCACCTGTTCCTTCCTCATCCGAGTTTTCATCCTCATCATCCACTACAAACCCATCATTTTCATATTCATTACGGTCTTCTTCCTCGTCATCGTCATCATCCTCGTCTTCATTGTCTGAATCCACACCACCTCCTTCTCCATCATCACTTTCAGACGCCATGTCATCAATAAATGAAGATTTAAGCTTCTATTCTCTCAATAGTTATAAGTTAGAACAATATATTCAATTATAGAGGGAATCAAAGCAGAAGTAAAAAAGAAAAACCACACACTCCTCCTACCTTCTCTTCCTCCTCCTCGTCACTACCGGATCTTTTAACCTGTTTCTTCTTCTTTTTACTTTTGCTCTTCTTGCTGTTACTGAGCTTACGTTTCTTTTTTCCTTTCTCTTCATTCATCACGTCGGAATCAGAATCAGATACAGTGGGGGGAACCAGTCCCAAACATTTCATCTGGTATTATATAAATTGCGTCAAGAAAAAATAATCCTTTCATTTAGCATATATAAAAATAAAGAGGGAAAAGACACGACACAAAAGGGCGTTGAAAACGACATGATGATACACTTACCTTCCGACGTCATTAGATGAATGTTAATGACTGTGTAATAATACTGTATAAAACGTTCGTGTCTGCTTTGCTTTCGTGACTCCTTAGTTCTTTTCACTCAAGGATTAATTCGTGGGTCTTATCTAATTCCGGTACGTTTAGTTCCAGGGAATGTCTTCTGTCTAGCCACCCAATGGTATTGGGCTACGATGTGGATTTAATTTTAGCCAATTGTATGATTCTACTGTTTTACTTAGAATAACTACTTTAGCTTTGGTCTTGGTAAGAAAAGTGCTTTTTTTTAATGATTACTGTCATATATAAATTCTTACAAGCTAACGATGTTGTCGAATACTGTTCATCGAAATTGACAAAAGACGTTAATAAGTAGTTTTCAAATGGAAATGTGGATTGACTCTCGCTGATGCAAAAGAAGATCACGTTCGATTTCAATTGACTAATTGCATACGTTTGTCTTACTTGAAAGTGATACAATCACAATCATTAAGATTAGCTAAAATAGTGCCATCTTGTGTCCGTGACAGTTGTGCAGCTGCTGGTGAATCTATCGTCTTGAGCCAGTGTGTAGTCGCTGCTTTGATAGCTTGCAAAAGCGAGTCTCTCGAGCCAGGTTATGCTGTCATTCCGTTGAAGGTGCTTGGTGATTTAGTTTGGAAATGAGTTAGAAATGCGCTGAAGAGTTCGACATTTCGTCTTGAGTTTGTTGTCACTTTTCCAGTCCTGAAGCCTGCCATGAAGATGAATGTTGCTGGAGGAGAGGCCGTCAAGGTACGTCGCAAACGAGCAATTTGCCCTACACCAACGTTGTACCAGCTGGATGTTTTGAACGGCAGTCGATCATAGACACTTCATATCATCATATATGCATTCTCTCTATCTTAAACGTAACTCTTGATGTGTTAGCCAAAGCCCATTTTGCATCTAGGTGACCTTCTTGGCCAGGTTTCTGAAGCCAACGCCCAGACACGACAGCAGCACTGTTTTGGTCTCCGGGTCGGGTTTAATTTTGAACGTGATGTCGAAAAAGTCGCGCAAATGACGTAGACACTCGATGCTATAGGGTGTCAACTTGCCAAAACGAACCTTTGTCACATCCTCTGGGCCTAGCGCCATAAACAGCAGTACCAACGCCTGGTTGGACGAGTCGACGCATCCTCCCTTGCTAATCTCTTCGCAAAGAGCGTGCGAGGCTCTCATCGCCACATCTTCCGGCAAGTCACCGGGTTCTGCTGCTGCCTCTGCTCCCAAAAAGATACCAGTTGTTGTCTCCGCCATGAGACTAAGAGCAAAACCCGGCGACTGTCCCGACTCGGCACCTTTATAATGGTCCGAGTAAATGTATACGTCCGGCAAGAGTTTGTTAAACAGCCCACGGCTAGTTTCCACGATGCGATTAGATGTCTGCGGAGACACACGTGTGCTATAGGCAACGCCACGTACGCGTTTGATGAATCCTTCATCCACCAAATGGACAGCACGTAGCTCTCTCACTTGTGGGCATTGAAAGACGACCTGTCCACCTCCTAGCGGAGGAGCACCTCGTTTTTTGACGACAAAGTCCAACCCTTCATCCAGACCAAAGTGTCGCAACAACGGCAGCGTTGTGGCCTTAAAATTGTCCACAGAAGCATCGATATGGTCATTTGTAATTCCATCTAGCGTCGCATGCAGCGGTAGCTTGGCGAAAGGCGCGAGCGCCGCGAGCACTTCCAGGAACCAGCCAATGGACCGTCCCGTGCCACAATCGTGGACCACACGACCACCCAGTACAAGACCTGGATGATACTTGAGTTTTGTACCTGTCTCATTGATTTCCAATTGACTACCGCTCGTCACGCGGTCCAAGAGCCGTAGCAAATTCGCTTCAAAGGGCGCCAGCCCGGGGTTTTCGTCCTCTGACCGAATCTCCTCGATGATCAATGGTCGCCCACTAAGAGTTGCACACACGAGACGCTGACGAAAGTGCGCACAGCCCTGGAAACGCAATAAACTGCCAGTACGATGTCCGGACGATGATGAGCGAGGTGCCATGTCGGACTAAATTTAATGTCTGAGCGATTGACTGGTGGTTAAATTTTGTGTACTATTGGACTTTTTTGAAAGAATTGATTAACCAAGTCACAGCGTTTGGACTCCAAATAAAAAGCACTTTCTGGTAAATCCTTTTTTTAGACAAAAGAGCTTATTTCAAAAGAAGTATTTCCAGTTCAAATAAATTACGACTTGAAATATTAAAATAAATTGCATCTCGGCTGACGGATGATTGCATGCATATCGACACCATTCATTTCTATAGCCACGGCATCCATCCTTGAAACGTACGACCAAGTAAATCTGGTGATGTAGCCAGTGTCAGTAGCTCCTGTGCTTGGGATAGCGAGCTCATGGTTATCATTTCGTTTTCACTGTCTTGACTGACACTCGCCGCATCGATCAGTGCATGAAACCTGCTAATTTGCTGTGTTAGATACGAGTTCTGCGATAGTTCTTCTTTCAATAGCAGTGCAGGCGACACGCCTTCCAGTTTCTTTCGTGCGATGGCAATCTTGATATCAGGTAACCACACAGTAGCTATCTTGCCCTCAGCCTGAGATGCTACCATCCGTTTGGCTGATCGGGACACGCGACCGCAATCAGGTTCTTTTGCTTCCTCCATATCTACATCGCTGCTGTCCTCTATAGTAGATCGATCATCGCCTTCGACAGTCTCGAATAAGGTCTTCTGGTGAGTTGTGGTAGACTGTTGCCAATCCAACAGTGGTTCGTGCAGGAAAACGTTCATCACGCTCTCAATGACCTGTCGCTTCGCACGCAGCGCCTCAAATACTACCTGCATCTCCTGTGAAAGCAGATTAGTGCCGTCGTACGGCTGAAACACAAATTCCATTTGTCTCGTATACCGAAATGGAATCAATTCAGGGACAGGAAGCACACTAGCACCGGCACCAAAACTCACACCAAAGTCGATTCCTATGATGTGACCGCTTGCGAGATCAAAGAGAAAATTGTCCAAGTGGCGGTCTCCGATACCCAATATGTAAGAGCATGCACTAAACACTGACAGCGATTTCAGAAAGTTGTCTCGAACTAGCAAGAAGGCCTCAAAACTCGTGCCCAATCCGAGCAGCTGACGCCGCAACAAATCCGCTGGAATCATTGCTTGAACTTTCGCAAACTGGTCCACCACGTCTTTTGAACGAGGGGCAACCACTTTTGCACTAAAGCTTGCTCCACGCTGTTCTAGAAGAAAGGACTCGTACGCCTTCGCAGCAGTCGTATTGAAAAGCTCCAATTTCTGCCTTTTGTTAATTTTGAGATTGGTGCAGCGTTCATCAATCTGCAGCTGTGTCTCAATCACGCCTTTCAGAGTCGAGGTGCCGCTTACCCATTCAACAATACCAATTTCTTGTGTCATTGGAATCACGCCATAGGTTCTAAGGGAAAGTCTCTGGTTGTGGCACCGGGGATCGGTATCGAGTATCTGATTCATTACCCCAAAAAGCTGCTCAATTCGCTGGTCAAGGCGCAAGTCTTCACCTCCTTTAACAAGAAAGGTATAGTCCTTCTCATCGCTGCAGTGTAAAACTAGTCTCTTTGGTAGCTGCTTTGAAGACAGAACTCCAAGCATCGAATCAAAACTCAAGATACGTATATGCGTAGACGGATTTGGTGGACCCCAGTCTGCAACAAACAGTAGATGAAGTCAGGTATAGGATGAATGGTGGCGCAGCGAAAGACACAATACTTACGCGCAGTGTACTGCCCGGGGAGCTCTAGATAGCAGCTCGAATGGTCAAACTCCTCGAGCCATTCCGCAAAGTCCCCGAGATGTGCCTTCATGTCCTTAGTGATACCGAATCTACCGGGAATGACACCAAAATGGCTATTGATCCACTCGCGGGCGGACGCCACCGTTTTTGCAGTCATCTTGGAGCCATCTTTACCCATGATTTTTTCAACATCCCGTTTAGCGTTTCGGCTCCAGTTGCGGTTGTATCGGCCAATCCGGTCACCAAGTAGCGGGCGATCAGGCGAGAAACAGTCGTTCCACAGAAGTTTGACCTTATGGTGTGCATCTGGTGTCCGATTTTGTTCAAAAAGCTTCGCAATCTCTCGCAATCCTTCTTTGAGGCGGAGTTCCGGGTGGTGGATTCTAACATACAATGCAACGTTGGTTAGTCTACTATCCAATTCATAGAATAAAATCTGACGTACAATCTCAACGCTGTAACGAATTTCTCCATCATCGTATTTGCCAGCAATACTTCTAGACGGTGCAAGTCGATTTTGAATCTATCCAACGAAGATTTACATGTGACCATGAAGTCATAAAAAAGTGCAACTGGGTATTGTTCGGCCATCTACGCATAGGGCAATCAATATACATCACAGTAATTACAAACGAGAATAATGCAAGCACATGAGAAAAAAGAGTACGACAAACCTTTTCCAAGATCGAAAGAATCGTTTTTCCTATTGGTCCACTCAGCAATGCCATTAGCTGTGCCGACCATTGTAGACAGGTCCAGAGTGGGACATTAGTCAACACGTACTTCTCGAATTCTCCTACAACGTCCGGGTAAGGAGCAATCAGATCGCACATCTCAGGAAAGTAGTGGGCACACTCCCGATCACCAGTGGCCATTCCTCCTAAAACATTCTCAGCTAGTAGCTTTGTCAATGCTTTCCGCTCGGCAAGTTTTGCTAATGTCTCCATTTTCTGCTTGAAAAGGAGATCGTTCAGAAATTCAATGAAGGTTAGTCGACACCTTAAAAACGCAGCTGGTGCACCATCTTCCAGTGTATATCTCGAAATACCGTCAATTTGCTGGCAGGAAACCTTGAACATATCGAGAGAGCGTTGAAAGTATTCTTTCGTTAGGTGCTCATCTACGTCATTGAAGGCATAAAATGCAGCGGCACTCGCAAAAGTCTTTGCCTCTAAGTAACGCATTGCCACTTGATCATTTGAGCTCGCTATTTCCATCATGTTCTTAACTTCCACGTTGTCAAACATATTCGTGGCCGTATCGTAGTATCTTGTAATCAGTTTTAGCGAGCTTGAATTTAGACCACGGCTGTGTTCTTGGCGATCGACCAATTTAAGCACATGTAAAACAAACATCTCAACCATCTCCACGCTAAGCTTGGGGAGCTGGTAAGCGTTGCAATGCTCGCGGTATCTCTTCAGCAACTTAGACGCCAAGGCCAAAATATTGCACGATATTGCTGCATTCGCATATTGCAGCAATGCTTTGCTCTTAGTTGTCAAGACAGTCAATCGCATGTCGTCAGAAAGTGTGTCTTGACTCCGTCCACTGTCCAGCAAAAATCCCGCAATGCTGTCTTGTACCATAGTATGCTGTGACCAATAAAGCATTCCGTCCTCACCAGTGGTAGGAGGCACTTTTTGCCACGCACCTATAAAACCCGTCAAATTGTGTTGCTCTTGTTTGAAACTGTTTTGTCGATCGTCTCCAAAGCGCAACAGCAGTTCATCAATCTCCACTATCGACGATAACGATTGTATCAATCCCAAACGCGATGACGAGGATACCGGACTAGTTTGTTTCCACAGTTTGAGAAAGTTACTGTAAAATGTTTCCACGCAAACGCGAACCTCGTTCGTGTTACCCATTGACAGGTACGCCAAGCACACTTCAACTGGGAATTTCGACTGAATAAGCTCTCGCCTTGTCGAATAATGCTTGGCTCCTTCAATGAAGTTTTGAAGGCTTGTCAGGGTATCTATTTGGTCGGTTCGTGTTGCCTGAGACAAACCTAAACAACAACGCATGTAGTGACCGACTGCTTGCTCCAAATATGGTGAGCGCTGCTTCCAAATAAATTCACTATCCTTCTCGACCGCATCAAACATCTCATCTTTGAGCGCTTCCCAACTGTTTAACGTCTCCAAACAGTGTAGTCGTTGCCATCGGCATCGCATAACACTGTTCTCAGGGACATGAGAAGAGTTACTACTATCATCAAATTCCATTTGCGACTCCAAAACGCTTTCTGCCTTTTTATATGACGCAATAGCAAGTGACAAATCTCCAGATAATTGCGCTTCAAGTGCAAGCTTGTACTCGTTTGCTGTGGTACACGTCATCAATAATGCTGTAAGAAAGTTATTCTTGTGTACTGTTCTCAACACCTTGTACAATAGATCCCAACTAGCTGCCATTGATTCGTGAAACCCTCGGTTCAGATTCATGTCATTACACTGGATGCTGTAAATCAGCTGCTCCTCCAGCACTAGCTCGCCAAGGTAATATTTCTCGCTTGACAGGCCTGCTTCTCCAATGACGATAGGCGAAATGGGAAGCATTTTACAAAGCCGTGGTCTGCTGACAATACCAGCTAAGTACGCAGATACAACGCAGCTAACATATACAGAAGATGCTTTTGATAGGGTCAATGTCCTCTCGAGCCGATCCGCTAGCTCGCTGCTGTTTCCCGATTTTTCGAATTCAGGGGACGTCACAATTGTCGAAAACATAGCACCAAACATCAAGCTCGATGTCTCAGCGTGAAACTCGCAGAGTGCCATGATAGGATCCACTAAATCTCGCTGTGTGATCTGAATGTCAGGAAACTCACCAACTCGATACGTCCGTGTAAGCGACACTTGACCCTGCCGTTGTCTTCGTTCCCGAATGACGTGAGCCTCCTGCTTCTTTTTCAGCATAGCATAGTGATCTTGGAAAAAACGCTGTGACACTTTCTTGTCATGAGTCAACGCACTTCTCTCTGGGGCATTATCAACAGTCATATGACGTTTGGAGAAGCGCGTTCGTCCAGCATGGTGCCGTACGGTGTCCAGTTCTTCAAAAGCTCGATTGTTGCATGGCGCTATCCCAACGGATGCTGAGTTGTACATAACAGTAACAATATCATCAATGCTAATTACGAAGTAACCAAGCAAACCAAGGAACGTGCTGTACCTGATTTGGAAAGAAACAACTGGGACTGTATAGTGCCTACAGTCTGCGATGATAAAGTTTCGCCTACAGAACTAGATTGTATTGACTCGGGGCAAGCACTTAATTTTTCAGCTTCCACAGAAAACAATGGCGCCATAGATAGAGACTTTGCATTCCAAGTCGAATCAATAAATGTTTCAGCGTACTCTCCGCTTCCCAATGCGGCTGGAAACAGCGGTCGCTTGAAATCATTGCTCTTCTTGGACATTCCGACAAGTAAATTGGTCGCATAAAGTACCCACTTCTCGTCAAACTGTTGTGAGTATAATGAACCGAAGATTGCTAAGAGTCGATCACTGCAAGAAGTTGCCATGGCCTCTGAAGTATTCCAATGCTCGAAAGCCTCGTGTCTGCACTGATCATCTGGATCACATAAACCACATAACAGAAAAGCTCTTACTCGAGCTTTTATGTGCTCGGATAGATTCTTGTCATACAGCTTTTTGGCCACGGTAAATAGTAACCCTCTGCAGGCTGAAAACTCATGATCCTCATAACACTTAAATAAGCTAAGACCCCCTTCAGCTCCATTTGCTACCAGTCGTTCCAACTCAGGCAAGGTCAGACAGTCCAAAAGACGAGAAATAGCTCGAAGAGTGCTATGCTGTACAGCAGCGTGCCGGTGACCGAGCAAGCGCCCCAAAGTGGGTTGAACATGAGCAAATACTTCCTTGGCAACATAAGCATTTGCAGCTGCATTAATCAGAGTATCAGCTGCCAGCAAAGCCCATGCATCCACTGAAGCAGCTTTTGGCAGCACGAAAGACAGACGATGTAGCATAATCGAATCAATAGTTTCCGGATGATGCATCGAAGCATTGCGAAGTAAAGCAAGGAAACGACCATAATCTTCCCCGTCATACGAACTGATGATCAAGTTTTTCAGTTTGCTCATGAAGTCTTCGCCCAGCGTGTCATCTATATATTGTAGGTATAATCCGCCCGCCTCAGCTGCAAGGGTATACAACACGGTTGCTTTACTTGTCATCACCAGCAAAATTCCATCTTCAATTCTATGTCGCTCATCATCTCTTGATGTTAAATTATGGACGAGGCCAACATTTACCATCGCACTAAGACTTTGGAGGGCAGTAAAGTGTTTTGCAGTTTTTATTCTTGTATCTTCGTCGTCAGCATTTATGTAGTTAATCAGTAAACTCATATCAATATGTACCGAATCCTTCCACAGCGCTATTAACTGTGTCACAAGCAGCACGTTACTGTCCCGGATCATGTTATTCTGCACTGGACAAAGCTTGATTAGCTCATTGATAAAACGACTGGGAATGTCCATAACAGCTGATGGTACCACACCGTTCCACGAATTCAGCACGAGATTGCAACAATCACGCAAGACATAGTTCAACTCTGAAACCTTTTGTGCGGCATTCACGTCGAGTAATGCTTCCATCACTGCACCTAACCATGAGGAACCGTACATTACGAATACTTCGGGAATGTCCAACACCACCTTTGCCAAGAACAAACGCACATTTAGGCCCACTGACTGGTCAACAACTACATCAAAAAGTTTTCTCATCCAGCCAGGCATTGTCTTGTCATCCCAACCAGAACCAAAATCTGCCTTCATCTGCACCAATACACGCAGCAACGAAATCATACAAGGGTGCTGATTGAGCGCATCTAGTTCGATCTCAACGGTTGGATATATATCACCCGCCTGCTCGATATCCAATGGTGCCGTTATCGCAGAGGCAGTAAATGTGTCAAGATCTACACTTAAGCTACTTGACGTGAAGAACTGAAGTGCAGCGGATGTGTTTCTCCTGGGGTTTGTCGTAGAATTCGTGTCAAGTCTTGCTTGAAGCGTAATCGCTGATAAGCTTGTTAAGGGTATTGTAGCAAATTCTTCTGTCTCGGCAGGCAAATCGTAGTCACGCGAGAGATCAAGAATATTGCTCCAGAGAGCGGGTTGAAATAAAATTTGATCATAAAACTTCTCCTGTTTTTGAGTCCGGGACACAGCGACAAGTAGACAGTTGTAAGCGGCACAACATGTCATGCGAGTAAGATCGTCAACATCTTCGTATGCCTTCGTTACCACCTTGCTGGCACATTTGCAAACAAGCATTGTAAGCTCGCGACCCTTGCCATTTTTGTGGCCTAAAAAAGCTGAGTTTATATCAGTCCGAATAATCTCGGGATCGATGAGGCGATACAAAACCTCCACCAACGAATATGCCACAAACACGCCAATGCGACTTCCTTCTGACGTGGCCTCAGCCGAAGTGGAAATCAAGGCCGCGAGTAAGCAAATAATACTTGTTTTTTTTGTAGTGCTTTTCATGGTATAGAAGTGCTGCAATATGTCACCACTCTGGCACTCAGTCAAGGGCGTGAATACCCACTCAAGAAGCGATTTGCGAATGGCAACATCCAGGGTGGGATCCAGCAACACATCCAAGAGCTCTACCAGCTGATTTTGTACCACTTCTTGGTTTGTCGTCCTCCCAACATGAACGCTGCTGCCAAGCGAGCTTGAAAACCTTGCTAGCATCAGCTTGATTTCTGCACCAAAAAGATGTTTGCTTCCTTCTTTCAAGCTTGGATAAATAATTTTGAGGTAAGCAATCGATTTGCTTTGCTCAATGACACTCAGTAGTTCGGAAAACAGCAACCGAAACACATCAAATTCCTTGGAGCCGCGCGAGACATCAGTGGAGACAATCGGAAATTCGTCGTAAATAAACGCCACTAGGGCATCTAGTGTATTCGAAGCATGTTGCTCACATGACACTAGACTTGAAGTAGGCCCCAGCGAAGCGAGTATACGCAAAATCTCAGCTTTAACTAGAGAACTACATCCACGATGCTTGAGCAAATCGATGATGGCACGTTGAATATCGGAAATAGGACCAATGCGTGCGGCTACCAGCAGATCTTCAGAGCAGTGTTTGCATAGTTCCAAAAAGTATCGAAGAATATGTAGCATAGAAAGAGTCTGTTGGGTGTCCACTTTGGTAACGTCCAGCATCTTAACTAATTGCTTCATGTTCACCACTAGGATCTTCGCAAACGCATCCCATTCGGTTGACTGGGTCGAGTAGACTTTACAAGCAGCTACTTGCAGCAAAACGTCAGCTAAAATGTTGGCGACAAAGCCATTTTTTAGCGACAGTGAGACCAACTCGCTAGCGCATCTATTCCACACCGTAAGCGTAGGAATGAATTGAATCACGTCGCTGAGCACTGGCCCATACAATTGTCGATCACCACTATTCGCAAAGATGTCGATAATTTTCCAGCCACAAGCTGCTGCAGCCTTTAATGCTGCAACAGCTACAAGCCGGCTTTCAGCTGAGCCGTGTCCATATTTTATCGATTTGCTTGCTACCATAGCCAGCATTGCTGCGAATTTATCTTCCTTAGGAAAGTTGGTGATTCCAGCACTTAAAACCTATCACATCAACAAGAGTTAAATGACAGCCTTGCTCATCCAGGTTTCAGTATGATTTCACGTACCTCACTTCCAAAGAAAACTAAGGACTCAATTTTACTCAAATGCTTGAGAAAATCCTCAGAGCTATTCATGTTTGTAAAACAGAGCGCCAGAGTTGAGAGTATATCCTCTACCGTTTTTTGCACTTGACGAGCCCAGTCTTGACTGTGCAGAACCGCACGAGTACAAAATTCTTTAATTTTGTCGAATGCGCTTGCATCGTTAGCCCACGAATCAGGGCGATGAAGCAAAGTCAAAAGGAGTTTCTTCACTATACCAGCTTGGAACGCCTGGTTATCCACGTCTGCAACTTCCAGAAACATTGTGTTGCAATTATTTTTCATCAATAATTTCATGTAACTGCATAGCGAAACCATAACAGATAGATATGACCCGATCCAATGCGAACGCTTAAATTGTTTCTCCCAGGGACCCTCGTGCCTTAACAAAGTCGTAATTGCCCGTGAAAGTGTCAGCAAACAACTTTGACCTTGCCGGTCCGTCGGATTAGGCGAGTGTTTTCGCTTCATGCTTTCTTGCCTAGGATCCTGCAAACGAAGCGCGAAAAAGTCTTCCGCCTTGTCGCCAAGCAACTCTATGCACCAAATACAGCTCTCAATAGATGCAGACAACTGCTCCATCCACTCAATTGTAACGTCAGGTAGCGTTCGAGCAAGCAAACTCATTGGCATCAGCACAGCGGTGATAGATTCTCTGCCGTGTGATGACGCATACTTCTCCATCCACTCAATGCTCGACTCACAAATCAATGCACTAAATGACATGAAAAGTTGTCTACAGAGCCGACGAAATAAGATCTCACGTGCCCCAGTCTGCTGAAAGAGCCAAATAGTAGTTTGCTGAAAGATTGTATCACTAGTCATGGCACTATCATGTCGTGCTGCAGTACTTTCTTTCAAAAACAAGTGGGAAAAGCGAAATATTCCGCGTTCAATCTTCATCACAGCTTTCGAAATTACATCTTGCGATATATCAACTCCACCGTTCGTATTCAGAAAATTGTTATCGCACAAGCGCAACGCACAGAGAAGATTTTTCAGACATGGTAAAGCAAACTCTGTCAGAACCGCCCCATTTTCTTCACTTAGTGATTGAAGGAAATAGCTAATCGTGGCTACAGCTCCGCTGCGTTGAATAGCTCCTGGATGGCGACACAACGAAAAAATTCGCTCAAACAAGTCATCGACCTCTATTCGCGCTTTAGCATCTTCAATAGCCAGAAAAAGAAGTGTCGCAATGCACCGAGCAGACATCGTACGAACAGCCGAGTCAGAGTCCGACAAACAGCGAATTAACTCGTCCAACATGCTTGCGTACTCAAACGGAAATGTGTCGAAATTTATTGCCAGCCAACGAAGCAGCTGGAAAAGCAATGGCTCGAAAAGAGACCTGCAAATTTTTTCGGAGTCCGTAGCTAAGCGCACAACGCGCGTAAAAACTCTACACCACATGTCATAGAAAACGGTTTTCTTCCCAGCTGCGTGTGGATGCGTCGTTGTCGTTCCACACAAGTAACAAATCAAGGCATGATATCCTTCGCTTGAAATGACTTTCACGCGTCGAACGGAACTGTGGGCTGCCAAATCTCCGAGATGCGATAAAATGGGGTCCAATGCTAGTGATAGTGATACATCACTAAGCTGGAGCTTTAACTGAAAGAAAGGCGACGGAATACACCCCATGCTATTACTATCATTGACAACGGCAGGGGGCTCGCTCATCAAAAGCGACACTTTACCCCCACACTTTCCAAGTAGCAGCAAAATACGACGCTGCAGTTGGGCAAGCTCAGACGACTCGTCAATGTCTGTACGTAGCGCACCCCTTCGAATCGTTTTCATCAACAAAAGTTCACTATCACTAAACTCTTCTTGGTCAAGGTATGTCGACAGCTGCGAGACAACTTCGGACATTACATCTTCTAGCTTCATCGGACACTGCATTTGCCAACGTTCCAACGTTTTGACAGCAACAGTGGCAGCAGGAAGGTACGACCTACCGAGTTCCAAGATTGACTTCACTATGTCAATCATGGTATCAAGAGCAATTAATCCTATTGGCGACATTAAGACAAACTCAGCACACGTCACGAGTAGCTCGTCCTGGTAATAACGTGTTTGGTCACAAACTCTACGGACGAAATTTGCCAAATCATCACGAAAGCGAGACTGCCGACCATCATCAGACCCGTCGCAGCTCGCCACTGTATCAAAGTATTTTAGACCGTCCACATTCATAACAACCACAGCTCCAATTCGATAGAAGCACGAAACCAGTGGTAGCTTCGTTGCAATAGTAAAGATCTCGTGCATTATTAATGATACCTGCACAACACGAAATAAGAAACAGCCTGCCACAATTGCACTCACGAGAGAACAACGTACCCATGGAAGCAGTAGGGGCCTCGAAATCTTTCCAACAACTCTTTCAAAAAATTCCGTCAGGTTGAGCATAATCGAGTGGTCGCGTGGCACAGCAGGCTATCATTCAGCACGAGCAAAAATTTGCTTAATAACATGAGCATGGGCTATTTTACGTACAAACACTTACTATATAGCCAGCCGTAATCTTTCCGTAGTTTGCCTTCTGCTGCAAATCGAATTTGTAAGAAAGATCAAGCTGATCGATAATGGCAAGAACGTGTTTGATGGTGGAATCAACGAGAATGACTTGGAGCGCTCTCCCAGCGTGCGTAGGCTTTTTCATCTCTACATCATCGCTCCGAGTGGCAATCAAAACAGGTGTAGGCTCCACCAAACTTTCCGTGTGGCAGCAAAGCAATGCCAGCCAAAAACCTTCATAATCGTATAAAAGGTTTGTCACTAGCTCACCCGTATCGGGATGATAGATTACCTGTAAACAATAAACCGAGCGGCGTCAGACTCGTTCAAATATACAACAGCTGTTATAATGTTACATAAATTATCGTACCGGTTGGTCTGGATCTGTAGCATTTGAAATACTCAACATCAATGTGTGGAGGACAAAGCGATCAACCAAAGGATCTACCACCGTCCAACGTGACAAAGCAAAAAGTAACGCAGCAACCGACTTGTGAACCATCAATTTTGACTTCCAAAGGCATTGTGGGTACGCTGTCATCAGATGACACAACACGTCCCCTAAAAACTTGACGTATCCATCATCCAGTCGAACGTCGTGACGCTTAATTGCATGCAATGCACCGCATATACGTTAAAACACACCCGAAACCATAATCATCTACATAAACCTTACCTCTTTTACAAAATGCCCAATGCTTTGTACATACTGAAAAAAAAGAGGCCACTTCCACGCTGTCGCTTTAGCATCCAGCGCCAAAAGGGACTCACCAAAAGTTCTAAGCTTCTCTTCAATCTTACCATAACTTTTTGCTCCAAGATAACAATGAATCGATTGTGCGAGGCAGCCAAGACATTGCACTGCGAATGCCATCGTCGATGTGTCAGCAGCAGAATTGCTCACAACAGGAAGAACTTCTTTCAAAATTTTGTTCAGGCACTTCTTGCGCATGTCATCAATTGTGTCCACCAGAAATGCGTTTAGAGCCTCAAAGATCGCGCTTGAGCAACTAAATGCGCTCTTTTTGATCTATATAAAAAAACATAATACAGTGTTAGCAGGAAGACTTAGTGCAGAAGTACTGAAAATCGAAAAAAAGAAAGCATTGTACCGTCTTGTTATCGCTCAAACAACAAAACTTCATGTATGAAAACCATATATAACCACTTGGACCAATTTCTTGCTGAAAGACCCGCGCATGCTTGGCTAAAAACGTTGCTGACGAATTTGTTACCTGGTAGCGTGACAAATTACCGCCAACTGTTGTCGCAAAAACTGTGAGCAAATATCTGCATGACAAAAGTAAACACACGCATGAGCTCAATCAAATTCTTCTTCAAAGCCTCGCCATCTACTTTCAACTCACGAGTAAATTTTCTTGCGCTGGCTATCGTTTCGTGTGTATCTTCCTGGATCACATTCTAGCAAACGAGTTAGCGCAAACAGCAGTCCATTTACCGTCATCATCTCGGGTGAATTGCTCAAAAACTGTTTCTCCAACGCGTCTTCAGTCCAAATCAACAACGACGGCACAGAACTTTCCACCTCCTTCGAAAACTTTTCCACCAAGTAGCCAATGACCAGCAACATCTGTTCTTTTGCCGTTTGTGTTGCCTTTGAGAATTTGATATCGTAAAACAGCTTCTCCACGTAATCTCTCGGCTTCATGTCTTCACTATCAACATTCTTGTCTGCGTACTTGAGCACGTTGATCACCACCTAATAGCACAAATATCAGTACACACTTCTTCATTTCTTTTGTATAATATTAAGAGCTACCGTACCTTCAGTGCATGGGCCTTGACACGATTAAATGGATCAGCCCGTGCCGTCACTTGGCAGGTTTTATACATGTCCACCACGTGCTGCTTCGAAAGTGCACAATGGGCTCCGTAGGTCTTCAAAAAGGACACTAGAAGACTCAACACACTAACTCTAGCCACTGAGATCTCCCGCTTGCGAGAATCGACGTCTAGATTAGCGCTGTCACTCAAGAACTTTAATAAACTAGGTGGTTCTACGCTCTGGAACAACAGGATCGTGCACTGCTGCGCCGAGGCACGTGAGCGCCCCATAGCGTCCTCCATCTCGATCTTTAAATGTCCTACCGTCTCCTCTATGCTTTCTACCGCATGTTGATGCTCTAGGAAAGCTGCTAGCTCCTTAAGCCGCTCACTTACTCCGGTAGTCGCCATACTTCAACGTTGAAATGGATCGAAGAGTGATTGTCAATGGACTTTACGGGTTTAGGGATATGAGACTTTGCGCTGTTGAAATGCAAATCTGGCTTGTGGCTCTAGACTTTACGTACGCTTGAACGTGTCTTACCACGTCAAACGGTACAGGTGTGATCTGATTGGGGCGCTCCACGTGCCTCCAACGCAACCTTTGCAGCAACATAAGGCTGATCTTCAGACTTGATCGCCAAACATTTTCATCTTCCATACGTTAGTTCACGTTGAACTCCTGCATAACTGCATTTCCTTGCCAAAATCGACCAACACACGCCATCCCGGTGGTCAAACGGCGGGTCTCAGATTGCCAATATTTGCGTGGCGGCGGCCAGTCGCCACGCAAGATACATACAACACAAGTTGCAGCAGTCGCTCTAGACTGAGCTATTGCACCAGTGACCAGGTTACTCGCTGTCACCTCTACCTCGTACTTCATCAGTCTCATCCACTCGCAGTTGCAAGTGAAGCAAGGAGAGTAGCACTTCAGGTGTCTGCGTCCAAATTTGTCAGTAGAAACAGCCGAAATGACGATCAAGTTCAAGTCATTCACGTCATTAAAGCCGCCGTCGGAGCTCACGCCGCTAATCAACGATACGCCGATATATGTCGATAAAGACGGCGGTGGTCAGTCTCTGTCTAGCTCACCGCTGCACCGCGCGCCATCATGGCAGTTCTGGCGCACCACGTCACCGCCGCATCGCTTGTATCTGCTGATCCTCATGAGTTGCATTCCATTTGGCGGTCACTTTGTCAAGGTCAGTATGCTGTTTTTGAGTATACGTACTGCATGAAGTGATCTGATTATATGGTATGGTCTCCCATTATTTGCTAAACAGAATGGCATGTCGTCACTGGAGCAGCTCATGCTAGATGACGAGGACTTTTCCATCACCAATACCATGTATGGTGCATTGCTGTCAGCCGTTTCAGTGCCCAGTATGTTCCTGCCACTACTGGGTGGCCGCCTTTTGGACAAGAGTGGTCACCACAACATTCGCCTTTTTCTGGTTTGGATCTGCGTGGGTCAGGCCACGTTTGCGATCGGTATGCAGCTTAAGCTCTACTGGCTAGCACTCTTTGGCCGTATCTTCTTCGGCGTAGGTGAAGGTAGCGTCGTCGTTGGCGCCCGCGTTTTCATTGCCTCGTGGTTTCAGAACCGGGAGCTCACGTTCGCCATGGGTGTCAGTGTAGCTGTCACTAACGTCTCCAAGATGCTGGCTAAAGCCACTGTCGCCCCCGTTGCCCTCTACTTTGGCGGGTACGTCCAGGCTCTTTGGTATGGAGTAGCAGTTTGTGTAGCCTCGGCGCTTGTCGGTGTCTTGGTGTGCCACTACACGCTGAACCTTAAACGCATCGTCAAGAGCCGCGTAATTACTGACGAAGCGCTGGATCCTGGGCTTCATTGGCTTAAAGATTACGTCGAGAAGAAGCGCCGCAAGCACCGCTGGCACAAGTCGCATGCCCACGCCAAAGAGATCACGTGTGACAGCATGCGCAATTTCTCGCGCATGTTCTGGATCATAGCGTTGCTCCACGTCAGCTTCATCAATGTCTTCCATCTATTCCAGAACATCAGTGCAAGCTACCTCTTCCAGCGCTATGACTATTCTATCGTAAAGGCTGGCGTCGTGAGCAGCTTTTCTCACTTATTTGTGTTGTTTGCGCCGTTGATTGGCCTTGTAATCGATCAGTTTGGCGGACGCAGTGTGCTCATCATCCTTGCCGCCATGATGTCTGTCCTAGCCTACGTGTTCATGATCTTCACGGATCTCAACCCACTCATTTCAATGCTGTTGATATCTATCTGCCTGTCATTTACGCCGACGATTCTGATGGCCGCGATCCCAAGCTCCGTCAATCGTAAAAGCTTCGGCACGGCATTTGGAGTTGTAGAAATCACTGATGCTATTGGTGCCACGTTTGGCAATCTTCTCGTGGGATACTTGCGCGACGAGACAGGAAGCTACCGTGATGTCATGCTCATGCTTTTGGGTTTGTCAATTTTTGTGCTGCTACTAGCTTTCTTCCTTGTGTTTGAAGAAGGTTGCCATAGTTGGGTGCACAGCGCACCTAGCGAGTTAGGTGCGCTGCTTGTTGAAGACGAAGACCCCGTGAATGAGCAAGAAGTGGTCGAGGCTTGTCACAGTGCTAATGGTGAAATGTCTCCGGTAGTCGATGAGCGTATTGAATCGGTGCCTGGTCATTCGTGTTGGTCACCCGCTTGATTTCACAAATCTGCCATTATCGGTATACGTGATATGAAGATGCCAAAAGTCGTTGTATCAGCATTTATTTAGACAACAGCGAACTCGTCATGGCGAGATATTGGAGCCTATATGGGCTTCTTGCGCATTCTGCATTGCTGTAACATGTATTTAGTTCGGACGAACATGAGATAAGAAAGGAATATAAAGTCTGCTGCTACATGCCCAAAGGAGAGTGCTTGGAGTAAGAACAACAGGATTGCAGGATTGGTCAATATGGATCGTCCGCCAAGCCGTTTGACAATTTGTAGCATGAACTCAATCAGTTATCGTGCGCAATGCAAGAACTACGACAGCAGATACCCATTGAATTATTGTGCCTCGACCAATCGTCCACGTTACACTATTCTGCAGCAATAAAGCTGCTCTATGGTCGCTCTGACTGGTACAAACCAATTTTAGTCTTTTTTGATATAGTCTCCATTATAGTCCAAAATGTAATTTGGTCTCGCAGTGCTTCAATTTACCATTACAATATGGCGTCCAAGGAGCTGCTCTTCTCAGGCCAATTCATGGCTCTAACGACAGATGAGATGCACGTACGGATTCAAAAAGACGCTATATCTTTCCTCAATCAATTGACCGAATCCCTTCTCATAGTGAGTCTTCACGGCAAGACGTCGCTCGTTCGCAGTCTGCTTGACGACGTCCGAGACGAAACAGCTGAGTACCGTAAACTAGATATCTTTACTAGTATTTGTACCACTACTCGCTTTCTAATGCGTATTGACTCTATTTCTCATGCTACAGAGGCGTTTGGCTCTATGTCAAGTGCATTAATTTCCCAAATGCCAAATATTTGGCAATTTTGGATCGACCGGGGTTTGGAAACTCGGTGAGACTTGTAATAACGGAACTGTGTTGTTTCTTGATTGTGTGCCATTGCAAACTTAATATATAACCGTTGTATTTTCGTGCATGTGTCATGCGCAGTCAGTAGAAGTGCTTTTGTACTCGATCCTGGCGAGTTTGAGTAGTGTCGTTGTGCACCATGTAGACGGTCACTTGACTACAGAAGCAGTGAAACAGTTTTCGTTTCTCGCTTCTAACAAAGAAGATGGCGCATTGCCTAATAACGGTAAGTAATGCGTCATTTTTGCTAGCATTTTTTTGGTATTTTGCTCGGTAGTTGGATTCATTTTTCTGCACTGTCGATAGCTTTTCCTCAGTCTCCAAAACTACTTTGGGTGCTGCAGAATGTTACTATCAACGAGCTGAAGGAACAGATGAAGGAGAGTGGATTGTCTAGGCAGGAGACCGAACAAACATACTTGTGCAATGCTTTGGCCGCATTGCCCAAGAATTCGCCAGAAGCAGCATTGAGCAAGCTTTTCGAGTCTGTATTTCCCGACCAAAATTTATTTGTTATGCCACCAAGAGGGTCAGAGACATTTGAAAAGCAAGTTGGGAAACTGTCTCGGCTATTCACAGATTCGATACACAACCGCTACCATAACAAGATCGTGCTGAATGGACCGCTTGTTTGTTCGATCGCGGTTTCGATGCTTGCTCATCGTGAAAATGTATTCAAGGTATGCTTTGATGAGTAACAAGCATGCTTGTACTGCATGACGAGAGTGAGTGCTGACATCTTTACGCGCATCTGCAATAGGTATTTGAAGGTCAAGCTTGGAACGATATGATTCACAACTGCTGCCTCAATGTTGTCAAAAATGGAGTCAAGCTTTACAAGCTGCTGATGTCCGACAGACTGGGCAGCATTGTCGACACGTCAGACCTCGAAGAATTTGAGCAGGCGCTAGATCCTGATCAAGAAAGGCGAGAATTCGTTGAGGTTGGCAAATTGAGTATTGATAGCCTTTGTTAAACTACCTCACCTTTGGCATTGTAACTTGTACGTTGCAGCTGCCATGTGAACATGCAACTCTTCTCGACGCGCACGATTTTGCAAAACGTAAAGCAAAAGCAGCTCTTCGCACGATGCCTGTCTTACCCGGAAAACTCAGCTCATTGCTTAAGGTATCGTCAACATGACAGGTGCGTTCGGAGTACTTCGAGCCGTATCTGACCTACTGTCACTGGTGTGTATTGAGCAGAGATTATTCTGTGATTTAGTGGGGTCAGTGTTTGCCTCAGTGCAGAATGAAAATAATCGCATCTCATCTGAGCTATGCCAATCATTGCTTACTACACTACACGCCAAGATGACAGACCAAGTTGACAAGCAGTTAATCTCGGGCACGCAAAACGAGGAAGACTCGTATTTTTTTCAGTCGACGAAATTTAGGGTGCGAAATTGCTTTCATGGGTTTCCTACTACGATATTGCGTTTTTCTACTTGTGATAACTTTTTGTTGCTCTTTTGGTCATCATTTTGCAGAGATTTTATCGCGACTACCAAACAAACTTGTTTGAATTCATTGCTAAGTACACAGATCAAGCAAAGGGTCCTGTCAAGGTAGTCCATAAACTAATTTTGTTGTAGTATTACGCCATTCCTACGCTGATGTTTGGACTTGGTATGACCATATTGGTCTTTAGATAGAAGAGCTTGCCAAGTTTATGCATAGCGTCATCCGGCCGCAGCTCGCTGAGTTTTCGGAAAGGCTGGAAAAGATCCGTAAGGATGATGTGAATATGTTGGAGGAGGGGATCAATGAGAAAGAGGAGGAAGTTGAGAAATTTAGCGCCAAGCAGAAAATATACCAGAAGAAGTCAATGGATGCACAAGATGATATCAATCGACAGCTAGTCGGAGGTGCTAAGCTTCACGCAGTAAGCTATATATCTCAAGCTTTTTGCTTCACAACGAAAAGGTGATAGTATACACTGACACTCTTTGAATTGCACTGCAGCTGCGGAAAGAAGCGCTTATTGGAGCAATTGATGACCTAACTCGAATGCACGAGATGGCTACGAAACAGAAGGAACTACTGGAAAAGGCTGCATTCGTTTCGGTGTGTAGTTGTGTCATGGAGACTCTTTTGGGAATCGGAAGTGTTGAAACAGAATTGAATTCGTAGGTTCAACTGCCCGAGCAAAAGGTCATTGAAGCTGCACAGGATATAGCTGCACAAGATAAGGAAGTTACGGAGTTTCAGGGCTATCTGATCAAGCAAGGTGGTGGTGGAAATGTACTCAACCTCCTTGGTCGAAAGAATTGGAAACAACGGTACTTCATTCTCATCGGTGCTAGCTTAATTTATGCAAAAACAAAGGACGATTACGAGCGTGGGAAGATTATCAAGGAACTTAGTCTGACTGGGTAAGTGAAGCCTTTTTCTCGGAAAATGTAAGCATTATGTTGCACAAGAGCACGAATTGCTAACTATGCTTGGCTGCAGTTGCCGCGTTGATCCATCTCGTGATGCGGGAGAAGGATTCAATATCACTCCAGGCAAGTCCGCACACGTGTTTGTGGTGCAACGAGGTTTGTTTGAGAAAAACAGTAAAAAACGCTCATCAGCAGTAGACAGCGGTCGCGTTTTTAAGCTGCGTGCTCAAAATATTCAAGAGCGCGACGTATGGATCGATAAGTTACGTCAAGCGGCTGGAGGCTACTAAACCTTGTGTACGCTTGTTCAGATGAGCTTCATGAATGATGCGTATGAATGGCAATTATTCTAAGCTTTGAGTGATGAATCTTGATACATGAGCTTTTGTCAAAGACCACTGGACGCGTTACTTTATATTTCTCTGTTACAACATACCACACAGTAGTAATGTTTTCTTGACTTAACTGACATTGAACGTAACGCATAAGTCCAGTAACAGCAATCGTGTGGCATTCTTTTTCAACTTTGTGCAGTTCTATCTATCCTATTGAACTGACCAATCGTCAATGTTATTCATAAACCCCATACATTCGGCTGTATTGTACAAAAAGGCAAGCTGAAACTTGTCACTCACCATCTCATCCATCATGTTCAGATCTAACAGTATAAACCGCTACAAAAATAAGGATATTTATTGTATCATCCTCTTCCAAGCAAAAAATGAGAAGCAAATAGTATGTAAAAGTGTAAAAATTGTCAGGTATCACTCGCATCGTCAACTGCATTCCCGTCGAAAACGCAGAGGAAACGCGATGATCAGAGGCGGCCGCGGGTTTCATGACTTCTGTCGCCTCGCTTGGCCTCAAATTGAGTTGTTGTAAGGTAGATTGGAACTAATTGGTCGGGCTTTCCGTTGAACACGACAGCTCCAGCAAAAATGATACACACGAGACACAAAACCAAGACAAGAAGCAAAGCTGAAAGCTGAAGCAACAAACATTGCGTTCAATACGCCAACACCGCTCTTTCCAGCTTTCAGCTCTCTTGCAACATCACCCGCTAGTCTTCTTTGTTCTCAATATGGTTGGTCTACTGTACAGTAGCCGAAACACCTTCAGGAGCGTGCTCGTTCAAAACAGTGTTGCGCGCAACATACTGACGCAAGTTACGCACGAAGCAAGAAACTTCGCTAATGGAGCCCTTGCGGATAACACTAGACGGAAAGTAGCCCTTGATATCCATGTTAAGAATCCAAATCAGACGGCTCTTGAACGGAGACGTCGGATGAGGCAAGATGACCCATCCCGTCGGGCCGTTCTCGCCACGGGTAATACCCTTCTGCGGCTTGAAAATGTTCTTTCCGGCATAGCTGTTGGCGATAACATAGCCACCGCCATCCTGACGACGCCATGTGCGTGTGTTCACAAAGTCGCGGCTAGAAATCATACCACCCAAAGCAGGGGCCGAAGTCAAGTGCACCAGGTCAGTGGTTTCATCCAGTTTGCAAATAATATTGCTCTCTGCTGCTGTCACGTTCCACACATTGCTAGTCTCCAGATTTGTATACAATTCATCAAAGAGCTCGTCCGGAGAGAGTGGAATTTCGGCCTCACACTTGTAAATACGCGACGGTTTGCCGTCCCGCGAGTAGACTGTAACGTTTTCGGTTGTAGGAATCTCCTCAGTCCATGCCGAGTCTTTCGTGACTTCTGTGTTAGCCAGTTCCAGTACTTTATCCAATGATTGTTTCGAACTGGCAATGAGCTCGTCGCTCTGCGCCGCCGTAATCTTCACATGAGCATACTTGTTCTCCTTTATCTTCTCCAACGTGTCTGTTGAAGAAGCAGTCGATACCTCGTCCGTCGCGTCTAAATCCATGCCACTAAAAATCTTCTCGGCATCTTCCAAGCCCGTGACACCGTCCGTAAAATGACGGGCAGCGTTGATTTTCATCACTACCTCGTACACGTTTTTGACAAACCCAGCCAACAAAATCCAAACGGCTGGATTCGATATGGCTACTTCATCCTTTAAGAACCAAAACGCAGCCGCAAAGCCCACTGTTGATGCCACCATTAAGCTTAGATTGCTATTGTCCTGGTTTCGCAACGTCTGAACCTTGCAAACCTTCGTGTCCTGTTGTTCCTTAGCCAAAAGTATCTCCTCTGTCATGGAACTACCTTGAACAACCTCTTCCTTCGCACAAGAACGCAATCCCATCGATACATCTTCAGCATCATACAATACAGCACTACTATGCGCATGGGCTGCACACGGGTCACACACGCGCTGACGGCGTGGAATCTCACCTGGATTTGTAGCCAGCACCATACGCGTACGTGAGCAAGCATGACAAAAGATTTCACCACATACGCGGCAATGATGACGGCGATTTACAAGCGAAAATCCACGCTCACACTTGGCGCATGTACGTGCAGCTACGTCTTCTACCCAACGACCAGACACCGTGTCACGCGAGGTTACGTCCATGCCGGTAGGAGACCAACTGCTAGATGCCGTAGATACATTGGAGCACGAACGCGGACGAATTGAGAAGCGTGAGCTACAAACCTCTGCCGCCTTGGTCGCACCACGCTCGGCTCGAGTCGACCGTGTTGCGCTTAGGGGGCGCAGACACATTTTGTCAGTGCTTTAAATAGAAGGACGACTATAGCTCAGATTTCGCTCCAGGCTGGCTTTTGAATACTGAGTGCAAGTGAAGAAAGAAAGAGAACACTTGGTAGACAAAATGGCTTTTTTATGGGAAGATGGAAGGGAAGGGATGTGATAAAGAAAAGACAAGACTTGTGGCTTGTTGTTTTTTTTTCATTTAATATAGAAACTCAAGATTTGAGATGCAATTTTCATTAATGTTTAAGCTTTTACATACAAGATTTAACAGGTTAATTCGAATCATTTAATAAGCTGACGATAGGATGGCGACAGTATTTTTTCACACGAAATATGTACTTTCACAGTATAAGGAAAGTAATTCTCGTCGCCTGTTTGGTTAAATCGCCATATGTAGTAATGAATGTATGCCATTTTTCCACCAACGGTCATACACAAGGCCTGAAACATACGACGCTTGCCGACTCTCGTAGCGATCTCGCGACAAAAAACTTGGACACGTAAAAGTGAGTGAGTGACAAAGAACGACCGTAGATTGATGCAATTATACACCAGCGATCCGTTGGTCGAGTGAGCATTCTATCGTCCTATGATGGATTTAACATAGCAAAATAATATCCAGAGATAGATTTCTACGGAATCCTTGTCTCAGATCACGCCATGACTTGTGACGGGCACCAACCAGGTCAGTCGTGTCAACTGTCTTCGGTTTCTCGCCTGTGTAGGTACGGTCGGTTGCGTGATCAGGAGTTGTAGAGATCTCGCGTTAATACTGCCGTATCAATAGTCGCTGCATCGTGTGCGTCCGTCGCTAGGACGTTCCGCTCCGCTTGTTTAGCAGGGACGAAATTTTGGAAGAGCTCAGTGAGACTCTAGCAATCAGATGGACATAACACCGACTTTATTCCACACGAGCAAATATAATCAGAGCCTCTGGAATAGCTCCCGTGAGACGATATCTTTGCTGCACGACAAGACGCGATGTGTAGCTCAGAGGGAGGACGTGGAGATTAGTACGCACGTAAACGCTGCTGTATCTGGAGCCAATTTGCGCAATCCAGCAGGGTGCAATCCACCCGTGCGTGTGTTTTCTTGCCGTTTTAGAATGTATTGCGGCCATCACTTGGTGTCAACTACGCTACATTCGTTGCAACCGTAAAGGAGTGACTTGCTTGTATTCATGTACCATAACCAGATTTTCTGTAATGCACTTGGTAAACAGTTTGAGACCAGATGATCCCATCCTGCCAGACTGGACCAGCCTTGCAAGTAGCGGCTGTCACAACTGCAGCACCACACATAATGTAAAATACAGTTATCATCCTGCTTGGATGTAAGATCCGACCAGTTGAGCACAGCTTAGACTTCTGAGCTAGAAGCTGCTCTATTAGAATAATTGAAAAAACGTCTTCAACATGGCCTAGAGCATAACGGCGCCCGTATCTCCATGATGATCAGTAACCGTTCCGACTCGAACGCGGGGGACAGGCGAGCTAGCTGCTCCCCACGCGAAAACAAAGCAGACCCCAGTACAAAATTTGCCGTCAACTGCCATCCATTTCTTGATCTCGACTCGTCCTGGCAGCTCTAGCACCGTATCAATAGCCTACAGACGAATAACCGATGGCTGACTACGAAGGTTACTTGCTCCTACACGACGTTAATCGACAGGCAGTACGTCAATCATCTCTCAGCTTCTTTTTGACTGACTAATATTGACACATTGGGCCTTATGTACTCAGGATCCGCTATACTTTGAGCTCGAAAGCGGCTTGCTGCAGTTTTACGACAAGAAAGATGGACGCTGGATAGGTCAATTCTCCCTCACGAGACATCGTCTATCCATACAGCGTATTGATGACAGACTAACGCCGAATTGCTTTAGTGTCGAGCTCTGCCCCGTGCGCTCCGTGCATGACACGGAACGATCGATTAAGCACTTACGACGCACTAGGATCTTATTAGGTGCGTCGACACCAGAAGTTCGACAGCAGTGGATTCAAGCCTTAATCACATGGCGTCGTCGCAATTGGCAGGATACCATCGTTATTTCCGCCTCTGATGACGAAGCCAAGGCGCTGCGCATGTTAATGATCATGCACCACCTTGAGCTTAAACTACTACGCAGTACTGACCTTACGCTACGTAAGGTGAGCATGGCTCCTCAGACTAGCGACCCAATTAACGATACCTTAAAGCATCAGACACAGTCCGTTACAATGGGTCCAGGTGGAATGGATGTGACACGACCGATTAGAACATTTGGCTACCAAAGTGTGTATATGAACCAATTTGCACTATGATAGCGGATATATGCAGACACGATGAGACAGAAGCTATCCACCAACTTCTGACTTGCCGTGTGCCTTGTAAACTAAGTGTGAGCATGAGCGTGTTGGAGTGAGAAACGTGGAGCGTACGCTTGAGCATTACACCTCGGCGTGTGAACTCAGGAACAACTTACAGCAATGGAAGACCGCGTTGCTTGAAAACTTGCTTTACAGTCGAACAGTAGCATCCGGCGCCATGTGAGTGAAGAAGAGCTGGTATCTAGCTGAAAACGTTTTGTCACATCAGGCAAGGCGTAGATGAATGAATGGTGGTCATAATTTTACTAGGTGGCTTCACTAAAGCCCGATGAACAAATACTTAAGTATTATTGTCCAGTGAATTAACGCCTCGAAAAAATAGATGAGGTTGGACAGAGTTTTAATGCAAACTAAATGGTCGCTTTGACAACTTTCGACGCAGTACATCGCAACACGATACACGAACGAATGTTGAAGCAGAAGCTCGTGACGCTTGATCTGAACACAAGAGCCCACCACCGGTATACTGCGAAGAAATAGTGACAGACGCGTAATGCTGCGCATGTATGATCGACATCGTCGCCAGTCATGCGAGGCGACGGCAGCAGCCTGTCGGAGACCGCCAGCCAGCAGTACCATGCCAGTTCGAAACAACCCTGTTACTGTCAGACCTAGCAGGAATAACATTGTGTTCTGGAAACCTCGGGTGGCAAGTACTATAGCTGACACAGCCATGACTATATTCGAGATTAGCAGCTTTGCCGCAGCTCCAAAGACCGCGGCCTTGCTGCCTGACACAACAGCTTGTAAATACAGCTCCAGGTACAAAAAATAGGAAGACCAATGGGCGCCACAGGCATACAACAAGCCCCATAAAGAATGCGTCTAAACACGGCTCTCGAATCCACGGTAATCAACCACACGACCTATTGTCGTATTCCAATTACCCATATACTCGCCACTCTAGGTCGGAATTTCCACCGTTTTATGCTTGCTGCCTGTATGACTATTCTTTACAACCCACTTGAGGCCGTCTTCGTAGACGAGATCAAACAACCACTCGACGTCATGCACTCCAGGCGGCAGCAAGGCCCACCACATGGGCACGTAGACCGAAGGTTTAATATCTGCGCTGGTACAGTAGAACGGGTTCACCGTCACCGTTTTGTCATCGTATACTGGTTGGAAGTCGAGGATGCCACCGTCCATAACCCACTCCCCGTTCAGCTTGAGGGCATGCCAGCAACAGGCGTCGCGCAGCATGATGCCATCAGACTATCTGTCAGCTGCTGCTGTGAGTCAAACGTTGTCGGTCGACGCGAATCAGAGCTGAAAGCGATGAGTAGACGACCGTAAGCTGCTGCGACGCATTAAGCTTCTCGTACTCGTGCAGTTTACCCTCCGCTTTCAACGTATTCAACAAAAATGTACGAGCACGAAAGTGTCCAAAAGGGAATTCATGTGCTTTGGGAATGACGTTAAGCAGCACAAAGTCACGTATGGCATCAAAATTGCAGTGCAGCGCCAGCCCTGTGGCTGCTAATGCACCCGGCCGAGCAGCCAATGAGACGGGCATTTTTCTCCAACCTCAAACTCCTGCAGTGCCTTGGTCACACCAAACAAGTACATCTTCAAGTAGCCACCACATGCAAACGAGAATGACATGTCCTTGAACGAAACGACTTAGGCTCGTCAGACGTATAGCGAGTGCAGACCATTGCAAATGCAATGCGTTGCGCGTCTACAACGAGAGAGGAGAAAGAGAGAGACCTAAGGACAGGCTGTTGAAAACCAAAATTCGTCTGGAGAGAGAACACGCAAGAGAATGTTGTCAAGCTTTTACTGCCACCAAATATGCAGCAGTGTACGACACACACACATTGGTCTGATAAGAATCACGTCGATAAACATTGAATCACTTGATTCATTGGTAGCTATTGTCCAACATAGCACATGTTTCTTGCCATATCGTGTGAATGACGTCAATGTTGTCTTGTTTATGCACCTTGCGAAAGGTCGCCAAGATGAAGGGTGAAATGTGATATCGACGAGCCTTCATCATCAACATCAGTTCTGAGTTGTTGTCATTTATAGTGTTGTTTATTAGCTGCTGCCACCATATGGTCGAAAGGGTTTTGCTACCAACGACACAGACATGTCACCGAACGTAAAAACACGACATGCTGATAGGTACAGACCGACGCAACGACGTTTGGGCACGTGTTGCACAATTGATTTTACCTCCAAGCAGAAACGAGAACAATTGACGTAGACTACAATGACTCGTTCTTCTTTTTCAACATCAATACCACGAGTGGATTCTAATTTGTCCTTTTCATTTGCATGTGGTGGCTGGCTTAAAATGTACCTTTTTGGTGTGGCCAAAGCTTTGCAAGAGTTTGAGCTGGAGAAGAACGCTCGGCTTATTGGTTGTTCGGCTGGTGCGTTGGCGGCCACCGCATTAGCATTGCATTGCGACTTTGATGCTATCCGTGACCATGTGCTGACAAATGTTGTGCCTATGGCACACGCGTCGCCGGCTGGTTACTTCCGCGTGCGTCCGTATCTGCGCGAAACTCTGATGCGCCATGGTCAACTGCATCACTTTGAAAAGCTGAATGCCTCGCAGCTGGCTACAGTTGTGTACACGTCATTGTCATCGTTGCAGTCACGCCGCGTGACGATGTTTGAGTCGGCAGACCATTTGACGGAGACATTGCTGGCTTCGTGCTGCGCTCCACCTATTGCTGGACTGCCGTTCAAGCTTAATGGTGAATGGGTTATGGATGGAGGCATGTTAGATTTTCAGCCTGTGTTTGACGAGAAGACGGTGACTATTAGTCCATTCTACTGCGTCAATGCAGACATTAAACCGTCAGTTTACGTGCCCATGTGGTGGGCATTGTTTCCACCTGGAGTGAGAGATGTGGAGTGGCTGTTTGATTTGGGATATGAAGATGGACTCAAGTGGATTGTGAAGAGGAAGTTGACTGGTGGTTTGAAGAACGTGGTAATTCCAGAAAAGAGCATAAAATGTGCTGGTGGATGGAATACGACGGTAGGTCGTGTGGTGGGCTACCGCAGCTGCGAGAGCCATTTGTTAGATGCCTTATTCATCGGGCTTTTCGTATGCTTGTGGCGGCCAATGGCATTCATCTGTCTTTACCTCGAGCTGTATCTTCAAGCTATAATTTCTGGCAGTAAGGCCGTGGTCTTCCATGCCGCAGCCAAGCTGCTGATCTCGAACATCATTATGGCTGCACTTGCTGTGGCTTTGGCAACTCTGGGCTTGCAAGACATGATGCAGTTTCTATTGGGTTTACTTGCCACTGGATTTTTCTTAGGCAGTATGGTGCTGTTCGTTGGTGGATTACAACAAGCGAGCGTCGTGGCTTCCGAGGACTGGCAGCGATTTCGTTCTTACATGCGCAGCATCGCAAGTCTATCACTTTTCCTACACAGTATGCCGGTCATCGGTTCAAAGGTGCAAATCAAACGCCACAAGTTTTTGCTCGAGCACTCGCTGGTGTATCGGTTGCGCTGCAGTTTATACAGGGCAAATACGTCTTAACAGCATGTAATCAATCGTATGCGCTTTTATGGCCGTTTTTACAAAATTTTAATGTTTTTGATTTATTATTTGAAATAAAATGGATCGAAAATAGACAGAAATAGGAGTGATGCTAATTCGTCGTCCTCTGTAGCTAACGAGTCTTAGGATAATACATAAGTGGGATATCCTGACAAATATTGCAGCTGTACAATCGATAGGCGGTATGGTACATGACTAAGGAATTCACCTTGATGAATATTTACAACTTGTCCTGGCTACAATTCTTGCACACAACCAAGTAAATCGTAAATATAAACAAGGCAGTTTCAATAGCTTTTCGAATTTACTGGTCGAAGAAGTTATCAAGTGACACGTTGACAGCGCAGTTTCACAAGACTTTTTATATTGTTATAGGGAATAATAAAAACTTTTGCTGTTTCACATTCCTACTGTCTTCACAACGACATTGACGTTAGTAAAACTAAAGGCAAAGAAAATGTGAATGCTCTTCCCATTTGTTGCGAAAAATACAACAAAATTCTATCAAGTTGTCAATTGTTGCATTCAACTGCTCTGAACATAAATTCTTGCAAGAATGCGCTAATTTAACGCTTTCATGGCCACATGACAAGAATAATTTTCAGAAACTTGAAACTTTTTAAACATCAACGTACTTGCGAGAGTTTCACGTTTTTATAACCCAGACAGACTTGTCTCTTGTCACACAAATCGATTAATTGCTTCTGATTGTTGGTTCCCGTCACAGCAGTCATAAACTTATTTTCATCATGATGCTGAAGTACATTTTACTTTTCTTCGTTTTAATGACGTGTGGATTCATTCGTGTTACTTCGGAGTCAGTCACTGATATACTACTTCACGCTTCTCCATCTGTCACAACATATGATTGTTCCTTACCTTCAAGTACGAGCGATACGTTTATTGATTATGATCATTTAGTGCATTGTAATTCTATACTACAGAGTTCTCCAGAGCTTGGGAAGGCTGTACTTGTCTTATGTCTCATGCTACTGTTATATTTACTAAGTTCGACAGCCGACGAGTTCTTTTGTCCAGTATTACAAGCAATTGTTGAGAAATACCGTATTCCACCTCATGTAGCAGGTGTTACGTTCCTGAGCTTTGGTAATGGATCACCTGATGTTTTTTCTAATATTGCAGCGTTTGCAACGCCAACACCATCAATTGCTGTTACATCTATCCTTGGTGGTGGTCTTTTAGTCACAACAGGTATGAGGAGTATATATATACATGTATGTGTGTGTTAGTTTGTCTCTTGTAATCTCGGTATTCATGAAAATTGTTATGGGTGATGTTTTGTGTCTTCTAGTTATCGCCGCGTGTGTGGGGCTAGTATCTGCCGGTCACGAGCAGTTGATCCCCCGTACGTTCTTGCGTGACGTGGCTTTCTACTTCGTGGCTGTACTATACTTGGGACTGGTATTCTTTGATGGTCAAGTGGAATTGCCTGAAGCCGTGGGATTCCTATTCATCTACTTCGTCTACGTGCTCGTGGTGTTTTCAGACAAGCATTTAGCAGCTTATTGCTTTCCATGCAAAGTACACACAGAAGGTTTAATCTACGGCGTATTGAACGACGACGATGAGGATCTCCAGTATTGGTCGTCTTCGACGGCGAGTGAAAAGGGTGCAGCAATTACTTCGTTGCCATTGCCAGTTGATCAGCCCCAAGAACAACAAAAGCACCGCCCTTATTTGAAAAGCCAAACGATCCCTGTGTACAAAACCTTTGTGCGAGCACAGATTTTCTCAGACTCAGAGCAGTCTGAACCGTCCCCACGCTTTCTCGATCGCATGCTGTATCGTAAGAATTCCGTGCCTACACCGCGCTCAGCTCCTTACATCACCGATGAGTTCGGACCACTTAGTCGAGACGAGGGACAGTCGTTGCTGGAAGTCACGGATGTACATCTTAAGCGCCCTACGTCAATGTGCGTAGCGTCAATGCAGGAGTCACGGCATCGGATGAGACGACAAAGACGTCGGCGCAAAACCGCTTGGGAGTCCTTGGAGACGAGTACGCATTTTGGAACGATGGCACGACGGTGGACGCGTGGGTATCACGCACTCAGCGATATTGATGAGTTTTCTTCTTATTTTGAATCGGACGGTTTTGACGCAGAAAACGAAGAGAACTTTGAAATGCCCGAGGAGGAGTTTGGAGAAAAGGATCTTGAAGCGACATTACGGTCATCAGAAAACGATGAGCTTCCGTTGGAGACGATCATGGCTGTTTCCTCAATCGATTGCGTCAAGCTGAAAGCTAAACGATGCTGGAGGCTAGCAGTTCAATCAGTAAGATGCATTTGCTCGACCTTCGTGCGGGTCGTATGGAACCCGTTTGCGGTGTTCACTGTGTTTGTGCGTCGGTTGACCATTCCGCTGGTGGACGAGGATACCTGGGATAAAAACCTGATTGTTGTTTGTCCACCTTTTGCGATGTTGTTGTTTGGCATTTCGGTATTTTCGTTAAGCATTGAAGATCCTGTTTTTCTCATGTCGGTCATCGTAGTTGGTGGAATGATCAGTGGCATTATCGAGCATTCCACGTCGCCACTTGCGCCACCTGAAGGCATGCTGCTGGCGCCTTTTCTTGGTGTGGCTTTTGTCATGTCTATCATATGGATCATGAATATTGCGAACGAGGTTCTTGCTCTTTTAGAGACCTTGGGAAAGCTTTTTGGCATTCCAAGTTCAGTGTTGGGGGTGTCGGTAAGTGCTGCTGATTTTTGGTATGGCTTGAAGCATAACAACGAATTAATTGTTGTCTGTATCGATTGTTGCTCAGGTTTTGGCGTGGGGTAACTCAATAGGTGACCTTGTGTCAAACATGGCTATTGCGCGCGACGGCTTTCCTACCATGGCTTTCGCCGGCTGCTTCGCTGGGCCTATGTTCAATCTCCTTGTTGGTATTGGGTTGTCACTTACAATTGCTATCGCATCGCACGGTCCTCTCTCCATTGCCAAACCGTCACCACTGGTGTACTTGGGCTTCGGGTATCTTCTCCTGAGTTTGCTGCTTAACATTGGGATGGCATCATACGATGGCTTTCGGTACCGCCCACGACTTTGCTACATCCTCCTGGCGCTATACGCATCATTTGCCGTTATTTCCATTGCACTTGTGGCGAATTACCCTGACGAATAATGGACATGGGCTTGTTGTCATTGCTTTGGCGATCATGATGAAATGCTCGGTGGCACTTGTAAGAGCTTTACATTGACTGTTGGCGAATATGACTTGGCGGTAAACGCTCGAGGTTTTAGCAGACGCTCCATTTCACTCATGTCTTGTATATTTCGAAGTACAATCTTGAAGTTCACGTCCAGTTATATCGTCATGTAGTACCAGGGTCTGGCTTCATCATCACTGCCTGTCTGCTGCACACTGACGTGATGAATCTCATTTTGAGCGAGTTACCCATGTAGTATCACATTTGCTCCGTGAAGCTAGCTTCGATGATGTGCAGCCTCGACCAAAGCTTAGTGCAAGAATAACAATGTTTATCAACCTCGACTAGTTCAAAAAATGCCCATATTGCGATCATTTGGTACCACAAGCTCATTGCATCCCTTGCTTCTCAGTTCAATGCAGCCGACAATTTTTTCTTCTACTCTAATGCTGTAAATACATTAATCCTTTCATCCATTACTGAAGTGTTGCGAACCGTTGAAGCCACAGGTAGTCAGTCACTAATGCAAACGCAGTTGAACAGCAGCTGACACATCACCCGACTGACGCAGGGCCAGCTACGGCCCGTGACCCCGAAAGATTACCACGAACATATCCTCAATACGTCGTGGACAATTCACTCTTTTCAAACCAAAATAACAACACGTTTGATGATTCCAGTTTTTATATGGCTGAAATTGCAACTCCATCATGTCTACTGGCTTTTAAGGTCCATTCGCTCAAACTTGCTCTCATCATAGTACTCAGCTTTGACCTTTCGACCTCCAAAAAATCGTCCATGTAAGCCTGTCAAAGCTAAGATGTGTTTGTCAGTTGAACAGAACTCAAAGCTACTGGCGTCTCTATGCAACTTGCTTCCTGCCACCACTTTACCTTTCGTAGCGTCTCCGGGATTCGTAAATTGGACGAAGATCCGGACAGCTTCTTCAGGCGAGACCCTTTCGATCACTTCGTAGATCACGCATTTTGCCACGGGACCATACTTATCAGAACATTCGCCCTTAACCTCATCTTGCAACTCATCATCTACCTCGCCTGGGCCCACCATATTCTACCATACACCAAGCAAGTTAGCAAGCAGCGTTAATGTTCAACTACATTGGCATAAGCCTCTATCTTACCAGTAACAATATCACCCGGCTAGTCAATAGCGTTTTCTGTGGCGATTTGCTATCCCACCCATTCGTCCGACGGCGTTTCTCACTGAAAGCACGGCTTTCAGTGCCTTCGCATAACCTGCTGTCATGACTTTTGTAGCTTTTGAGGCTCTTCCTACGCTCGCCGTGTTTCACACTAGACTGGTCTTCACTCCCTCTTTTCACGTCATGTCGAATCTCTCGTCCAAACTCATCCTTCATTGGTGCGTTCGAGTGATAGCGTTCTTTCGTAAAACGTCTATCGCTGCTGTCATAGTTGCCACCGCCTATCCTGCTCCCACACGGCTGAAAATTTGATTTCGTTGTTATTACTCGTGAATCCTTATCCGAAATTGCCAATGACGTTGATCTGACGGATGAAGAAAACCCGATGCCTTTAGTCGAGAATCTCGGGCTGCCTCGTGACTCTGCAGCATCCTCAAACTGTCCGTCGATAAGGTCAGCTTTCGCCCCCTTTAATTCACGTGCTTGCTCCACATCACGCTCACTCTCGGGCTGCGACGCTGCATTTTCCTCACTGCAAAAGCACAGTAGTTAGAACAACCTGCTCAACCACTTTGTCATACAGCAGGACAACAAACATCTTCTTGCGCATCCATGCCGGCATCGTCATGCCTCGTCCTCGTCCAGCAGGAGCTGGCAAGTCCATGGCTGGCGTTCGACCTTCGGCCAGATCCTTTGCAAGCTTTTCACGCTCCAACTTGCCCTGTAGAAAAACACGAAGCCTTTCGTCACAGGTCGTCCACACACTCAGTATATTGTCTACCCACCTCTCTCTCCTGTTCTTTCTGTCGCCGACTCAATTCCCGTTTCACCTGTTCAAGCTTTTTCTTTTCTTTTCTCTCTTTGCAGTAAACCTCGTAGCTGTTCGGTCGTGCTGGTTGGTACTCATCTCGATAAGTTGCCTGGAAAAAATGGCCCCCTGTCGTACCGGCACCCACGTCTCTATCGTCCTTTTCCTTTTCGTATTGTTGCTGCTGCCGCTCCTGTTGTTGTAGCAACTTCACTTTCACTTCTGTTGCGGCAACATATCCCAATCCTGTGCCTGTAGACCGAACCTTTTCGTCTTTTTCTTTCTCTTGAAACACTTGAGTAGCTGCTGCCGACATTCTCTTGGCTACCGACGTAGGATGAAAAGATAATGACATGGACGGCCGTATAGGTCTTTTCACTCGAGCTTCTGCGAATGCATTAGGTGGCGTCGACGTGCTCTACTTGTAATAAGAACAGTAGCATCATCATCATCATCATCATCAGTCCTCAAAGTGTCTTCGCCTTTTCTGCTGCGACAAAACCCTACATTGATGACGGTAGAAGCTACCATCGACTGAACGTTGTTAATCTTGTGTTTAGCTGCTTGTGGCACCATCAATGGCGTACCTGCCCATACTAGAAGACAAGAAAAGACGTTAGATATAAGACAGTCTAGAAACATGTTCTTAAAGTCCTTTTTGAGCAAATTTGAGATACAAAAAGCTCATGAAACACACCGGAACTCGTAGAGGGTAGAGACGCCTTGGGTTTACCATCTGCATCGAGTGCTGAAGACATCTTCGCGCCCTTAGCAAGCGGCAGATCGGCGTACAGATCCATGGGCTTAGACGGTAGACAAGTATTGGAGTTTTGTGTGAATGGACAGAAAAACCGGCTCAAAAAAACCGGTATGAAAGGAGTGGACTAAAGGTTACGAATGAAATGGCTACATTATGTAACTCGACTTACAGAGGCACACAAGAGCCTTTAATGCTAACGATAAGGTCAAACACTGGTGAGATGATATTCTAGCACCAAACTCAATTTTCTTCCTCTTCAGCAAGAAGATACTGGTACATAGCGTCTTCTGACTTGCAAAAATGCCAGACGCTTGGCGACGCCTGAAACATCTCGACCGACTGGTTGAGTGTCATAAGCTTTACGCTGATGTCCTCAATGAAACCCCACGAACTCTCCTGCAAATATTGGCAGCAAACGACAATAGTCAGTCCTATGATTCCAGAGACACACGCAAAGAAGCGCAGGTAGACCCACATAAATGGAGACTTCCAATTCGATGGCGTCCTGACAAAAATCTGTCGCTTGCTTAATGTCGAGGTCGAGACTTTCGACAGCTGCAAATGCCACAGCCATCTCTTCCCGCTTCTGGTTCATGATCTCTAAACATGACTTGAGGTTCACTACCAGCAGCGACAGTCCACTGAGTTGTTGGCTTTGACCTAAATAAAGAGCACAAAAGTCGTAGTCAGCGTTTACTCATCCAAAGGCGTCACGTTTATCAATTACGTACGACTGAGCATGATGCTGGACGGCGTCAGTGCCGCCATGCCTGACAAAAACAAACTCTTGCCGGCGAGTGAAATTGGCACACTCAATCCACTCGTCACTGGAGCAGCAAGCACTCCAGCGACACCCACGACAGCTCCGGCCACTACACCAGCCGCGCCAGCTGCAACTCCTGTGCCACTAAAATCAGCAGAGCGTCCTCTCATATGTAGCAATGTGATACTTTGTACCATGAGCTTCGCGCATTCAGTAGTGAGATCATCTAGCTCGTCTAGCCTCTCGCTCATCTCGGCCACCATGGCCTGCGCACTCTGCGTCATGCGAGCAAGTGCCCACTCTGCTCGTCGCGCGTGTCTCTTCTCCTCAATATTATCTTTTGTCTGCAACGATGGAATCACAGCTTCTCTCAATTTACTCAAGTAGTCAGTCAGCGTAGCAATCTCATTGGCAAATTGAGCAAACATGAGGTTACACTGTTCCAAATGCGCTTGGCTTCGCTCCACAAGCTCGTCGCACTTGGCGAGTGTGCTATTGGCCAATTTTACTAATGTACGCAGTCGATTAGAAAACTTAAATGCCTTCTGAAGCTTATGCACAACTTCCTGAAGCTGTTGTAGCTGTTGTTCTTCCGTCTCCACGACAAGCCACTCGGCACGCAGTACACGCTCCGAGTCATCGGGTGTAAATGCTTTCTGCATCTTATCAACAACACGGTCAAAACCTACACCTTGAATGCCCTTCATTATAGCCAATCGACTGCTCTCAAAAATATCAGAGCCCGAGCGCTTCTTGGTTTCCATGGCAGCGTCTGACACGGACACGAATGATTTGGCAGATGGTAAATCTTCCGTTGTAAAGCTACGTTGAGCTGCCTGAGGTGACGGAAAGAATGTAGCACTACCATGACGTACTAGTGCCAAATCATCTCGACTTTCCTCTGCTGTTGTCGTCTTCTTCACACGCGCGTACCTTGGACTTAATGCCATTCTTGCATATATTGATTAATTGTATGTAGTGACTCTTCGGACAGAGGGTAGTACCGTAGATGACGAAAATCAACGCCATTTCTTGATTACATTTGCTTCTGTCATCTACGGTACTTTCATCATGTAACGTTTTGTGATATCAGCTTTCTGTTTACAGTTACCACATCCGTCGACACAGTCCTATTATCACCGTTTTTTCATTGGCTGTGAAGACATCATGGGCAGCACCAAGCGACGTCGTCAGCAGCGGATCAAGAACGTAGGCACGGACGTAGAGGAGAGTATCCAGCGAGATGCAGAGGACAAGAAGCTTAAGCACGTGAATGCTGAGCAGATTTTCCAGGTGGATTGTAAGGGCGGCGACGTACCTGCTTCACTGACCAAGAAGCAGAAGCTCGAGAAGCTGCAAAAGGATCCTTTGTTAGCTAGCTCACGCAAGTTTGACGCTACCAAGCTGAATAAAGGTGAGATTATGGCTATTAAGAAGTTGAAGCAGATGAACTCGATAGTGCTGAAACGGAAGCAACGGAAGAAAAAAACGAAGGGACTGTGGGGTCAGGACGGTAATGTCAAGGACGACGAACTAAACCAGCAGCTTGACGAGTACGTGGCTCCTGTGGTGGTTACTAAGACCAAGCGTCGTAAACTTATGGCCTCAACAAAGTACAAGGTGCCGAAGGTTGAGGTAGCAGCTGCTGGGCAGTCGTACCACCCGGATTTTGACACACACCAAGATGTTATGGCGGAGGCCGTTGCGAAGGAGCTGGAACGTCAGGATAGAACTGCTAAGCTGCAGGAGCCCGTGGCCGATGGTATGTCGGAGGATACACTGCAATACATTAAGCAGGAGTCGTCGGACTCGGAGGCGGAGTCCAGCGACTCGGGGGATGAGAATGGCGCGACCAAGAAGGTGAAAAGAGAAAGAGCTGAGTTTTGATTCAGATTGGTTGTTTATTGACGGTTGATGGCGTTTGTTTTTGTTATGGAGATGCAGATACGCAAGGTGCCCGAGAAGGTGACACGTGCTCAGCGCAATAAGCGCTCAAGACACAAGCAGATGAAGTTGAAGCATCAATTGCGACGTGGCGAGAAGACAATCATTAAGCAGATCAACGCGTACGTTATTATTGATGTGGAGTTGATTGTAACGCCGCACTTGTTTGACGCCTGTTGCATCTTGCGATGATGTTATTGTAGCTCCAATCACATTCTTCAGGACATCGTAAAGAGCGAAAAAGAAGCGGCTAAAAAGCTGGAACTGAAGAAGCTCCAGCTGGAGCAAAAGTTGCAGGACGAGCCGCCCGTGCGTGTGGCTGGGAAGTATACGTTAGTATAGTTTTTGGGCATGTTTGGGTAATCATGAGCATCGCGACTAACGCTGTTATTGCCGATGGTTTAATGCAGCAAATTGGACCGAATGACGCCGGTCTCGTTCTCCGAGGAGCTCACAGGCAATTTTCGAACGCTGAAGCCGAAGGGCAATCCTCTACTGGATCGTTTCGATAGTCTACACAAGCGCAACCAGATCGAAATTGGTCACCCAAAGAAAACTCGCAAGGCTAAGATGAAGATCATCGAGGTCAAAAAATAAAAGCAACCAGGGTCATGTTGTGCTCCATACATGCGAAGAGCTCATATTGACTTTTTGGCTTGTAGATAGACAGACACCTCACGATGTTCTACTTTCCACTTTTCACTTCTGTTCCTTTGGCTTCTTACTTGTCATGATGCCCGGTCAGTTTGTATGTTTTATCTACGTGGCGTTCTTGCTGCCTTATGCTGCTTACCCTCCAATGCTATCATCTTGTAGAGCAGAACCACTTCAACAGAATACTGTTATCAAAATGATGTCCACTCAAGCATCCAGATGTGCCTGCAACATGCGCATTATATCATTTGCAGTGCTATAGTGAGTACAAACATAAGTGGTTTGGCGTTATCGTAACCTGAATGTCAGATAGGCAAGAAACGACGGTTAAAGCCACTGTCGATTCCGACACAGGCGAAGAGATACCTTTAGGCGCAATCTGCATGCAAACCACTCTTGACGCCGTTAACATAAGATACTCTTTTCCCTTACGTGTCGAACTTGTGTTGTATTCGTTTGCGCTTTGGCGTTGTTTAGTATGGTGGTTTTGCTCGAACGTAGGTTGTCCCTGCGGCAAACAAATGCTCCGCTTGCGCCGTATAAACATCGAAGAGGACGCAGATAACGATGACTAGAGGTTCTCCAAGTTGGCCCTTGGGCACAGAACTATGCGGCTAAACAGTTGCCGAGACTCAATGACTTGACTGGTACGGTAGCGGATGCCTTTCACTGCGAGTTTGTGCTGACATCAGAAGGTGTCCAAGCACGAGCAGATGCAAAATGCATCTCGTACTCCAAACATTGTAAGTGCCTTGGGAATCGTCAATGTGGGTCGTCATCATAGTGTGTCGTAAGCGAACAATCCGCGACGCTGCCGCAATCTTACTCAGTTCAACAACTGATCGATAAGCACGACCAATGCGAGCATCTTCATGTCACAGCCAAGACTCGGCGGGAAGAGCTCAATTCGTCCAAGATCGCCAATCGAGTGTCTACTTGGCAGGTGACAGCTAGATGGTCTGCCTGCCTGCACCGACCATGTTGGCATTTGCTTGGCTGCCTACTGGACCTTTTTATTGCAGTGACATGTTCCTTGACTTGCGCTTGATAAAAGGTCGCCTTGATTGTGAACTGTGGGCTCGCCAGGCGAAACGTACTCCTGACAAACACACGCGACGCAAATCAAGTATACTTCTGCTGCCCCACCACGCTTCCCAAATGACCACACAATGCTTGACTCCACCTCGTCACGTGGATTCGGCAGCAATGTGTAGCTTTTGCCGTGTTCTTCGCTTGTTACTGCTGCTGAGCGACGACTGTTGTTCGACATTGAGAACGCCGCGCAACGTCGTTTACCAGTGTCTTTTTTAGTAGTCGCTTGTTCGTAACGTGCGCATCATGCCAAACGCAGAAGCTTGTCTCCATCTGTCCACGAGTTCGATGGCGGCTGTTGTGAGGCGATCCGCAGGATGGACGGTGCAGTGACTGATTGCTCTTGCATCCAACCTTTTGCAGCAAGCTCTTCTGCCTATGCGTTGTGACGGCGTTGATAGCTGTGTCGTCCTCCCGCTACTGCAGCCCGGTTTACGAACCAAGCAGTCATTTTGATACTAGAAAAGGTTGGCAAAAACATTAACCCTTTGTGGCACATCAACCATGCTGGAGCAGATTGCCAACTAGCCCCCATGGTGCATATAACGAAGCGGTGCAGGAGCCTTACGCCGACTGCGAAGCTTTGATTAAACGGTGATAGCGATCAGCTGCGCGGAGTTGCTGCTCGTCTAGCGCATCAGACAGACGCTTGCCACCAAGCAGAAGGTCATGGGGCACGCGAGCGCAAACTGCAACTCCGACGACAGCACCGGGAGATGCGGCTGGAGTTACATCGCCACAAATGATCACCGTATGATGCGGATGTACGATCGCTGTGAGCTCTCGCGAGCCTACACGGCGTCCTACACAGCTGGCGAACGAGTTTGTGGCTGCGGCGCAAGCACAGACTTAATGCGCTTGGCTGTGTAACGTCACTGACTAAAACGACACATCGCATGTGTCGATTGGCGATCAATTCGACGTCGAAAGAACACTTCATCGGAGCTGAAGCTGAAGTTGGAAGTAGCACCCCGACCGGTCAACAACCAACGTGTTTAACGGATTTTTTGGTTGCATCCAAGCGGTGCCTCTCTCTCAAACAGAAAGACGGTTTGTTGCTTCGAACCAGCTCTCTGAAGCAGTCGATCTTTCGAGTGAAGGTATTCGAAACGGTCGATGCTTGTCTCATGAGAAACCGTCCTCCTTATCTGGTCGAGCGATTTCAAATTGCAACGAACACGCTTCCAAGGTACGTTATGGCACTTGATGAATGTATTGATGATTAATTGAACTACAATGTTTGAAACATCTCAATGCTTTGCTGTCTTGAGTCGTAGTATCAAAAGCAAGCAGCTGTTCATAGGCAAGTTGACGTGGACTTATTCATGTCGCTCGGCGGCATTCGTATTCCTTCTAGACAGCTGAGCTGCATTGTATTCCAAGACGATTGTGCAACACTTGCGTCGTGTCAACAGTCATGGCGCCGTGCTGCTCACGACAGCAATCACAAGCAAACTCTGAGCACCGTGTAGGATGTAGCTAGCTATTGTCAGATAGGCCGTCCCAGGATGCGTACGCCACGATCAGTATTGCAGCGATCAGCAGAGCCTGTCGTGGATGGCTAACAACGCTGTTGTCTGTCTGTTGATCATTCAATGGATGGCATTTGGACGCTTCAAAGCGATATCACGTTCTGCTGCTACTGTTGCTGTCAAACAACGCTTGTCGTCGGCCGTCCATACTGCTCCAGAATCGATTCACTACAATTCCTGATCTCTACGGATCGGCACTCGAAGTTAGTAGAGCTCATAGTTCAATTTTGTCATCGCATCAACGGTACTTTACACGTGCCGCGCTTCTCACGCTCCGAGTTCAAGAACGACGCACTTTCTGCACCGCTGTCCACTGCACACGCTTTGCTTACCTGCTCACGATCTGCACACCGTCAGTGAGTGTGTGTTCATTTTACAAATTGCTTCAGCGCGCATCAACTCCGTTCATTATCCGTATCCGCCTCGACAGTAGCACCGCTCTAGCTTTGACTTACTCCTTACTCCTTGCACAATCAACACACATGACAAGCACTAGTGCCGATTTCGAACTCTCTGAGCTGCAAAAGTATTATCACTTGCCACTACGGGAAGCTGCTCGCCGCCTCGGCAGCTGTGAGGCCGTGGTCAAGCGTGTGTGCCGCCGAAAGCAGATCCAGCGGTGGCCGTATCGTCAAGTGTCGTCCAAGCTCATTAAGATTCAGCACTTATGTAAGTACATGGCGCATGTGTCAGATACTGAGCAGAAGGCTCGCATCCAGCAGAAGATTAAGCAGCTCACAAAGGAATACCTGGAGCTCGTTGGTGGCCAAGTGCCGTCAGAATTGCAGATTACTCCTGCCGAAGTGCCGGTGCTGCCGCCACCGAGCTACAAGAGCGATACCCCGATGGATCCGGCCGTGCTGGCTGCTGTTTCTGATGATGATGTCGACCAAGAAGAGGAGGATGAAGACATGGATGATGCTACCGAGTCAACCCGCGAGCGACGGCTTTCTGCGTACTCGCTGCGCTTCATCCTGTCCGACTGCACAGTGCTCGAAACTGACACGGGCATTCACTTCAGCACCACCGCCTGAACGTTTGCCACTGTGGCGTCACAATGTTTTTTGTCTAGATGTCCATTTACGAGAGCACCCTGTCGATCAAGTCTGCACATAAGCTAGAGCCTTCATACATACGATACCAGCAAATCCTGGGAAACGCTTGCAAGTTAGAATCTTCCTAATCAAATATATTGAGCTTCATTGTCATTGTCATTACCATTCTTAAAACCGAACGAACCGCTCCGCACCTGGCTGACCGATACTAAGTGCCACTGTAGACAGCTTAAATTTGGTCCAGCGGGTCAATGCCTAGTAATGAAAAACACGTCTTCATGACCTTCAGTGTTGCGTCGCAAAGCAACAGGCGGCTGCTTTGCTCGTTGCTACCTAGCACACGGCACGCTGTGACGAACGTTTGCACCTTCTCCGAGATTGTGTATAGGTAACTGCACAGCCGGTTAGAGTTCAGATCCTTGTTGATAAATCCAATCACATCTTGTAGCTGGAGCAGCTCGATGGCCAAAGCCTGTTCCGTTGAGTGCTCTGGCTTCAACACATTGCCATCCTTTTGCTGCTGCGCCACTAGTGCAGCCATGTCAACACCGGACTTCCGAATAATTGAGGATAGACGAGCGTATGCAAACATGAGGTATACAGCCGTGTCACCGTTCGTCGACAGCATGCGATCGAAACTGAAAATGTAGTTGGACGTGGGGCTCTGACGCAGATCAAAGTATTTGACAGCACCGTACCCCAGCTTCTCGGCAGCAGCGTCCACCTGATCCATCGGCAGCGACGTCTGCCCGGCCTCAATGCGCTCGACAAGTTGCGCCTTCATACGGACCTTGGCCTCATCTAGCAGCTCCACCAAGCGCACGACCTCACCCGAGCGCGTCTTAAAGCGCTTGCCTGACTCGTCATTCACTGTACCAAATCCAACGTGGTCCGCACGCTGCTTGGTCGGATCATAGATACCTGACATGATACCCACTTCAAAGAGCAGGTTAAAGTGGTCCTTTTGTGTGTAGTCCGTGTAGTAAATAACACGGTCAGCCTTCATCTCGTGTAGACGGTACCAAAGAGCAGCAATGTCTGTCGTAGCGTACAAATATGAGCCGTCGCTCTTCACCAGCAGGAATGGCTGCTTGTATACCTTGGTGAAAACTACCTCAGCACCATTGCTCTCCTCCATCAGGCCCTCGGCTCGCAGCTGGTCCAATACACCCGGAATAATTGGATTGTAAAATGACTCGCCCATCTCGTTAAGCGATACACACAGGCGATCGTATACCTTCTGAAACTCACGACGACTGATATCGCACAGGGTAGTCCAGACTTTGCGAGATTTTTCGTCACCGGACTGCAGCTGCACAACCTGCGCCTTTGATCGCTCATGGAATGCCGCGTCAGCGTCAAAGCGCTCCTTCGCAGCCTTGTATAGCTTTGTCAGGTCCGTCACATTGGGCATCTCAGACTCCCAGTTCAGGTACGTCTCTGTGAGATGGCAAATCAGCATGCCAAATTGGGTACCCCAATCACCGACATGGTTGATGCGTTTCACGTTGTGGCCTTGGAACTCAAGAATGCGGCACATGGTGTCGCCAAGGATCGTAGAGCGTAGGTGACCCACGTGCATATCTTTGGCAATGTTAGGAGACGAGAAGTCGACGACAATTGTCTGCTGCTTTTGCGGAGCCGGCTGCACACCATTTATCAGCACGTTTTGCAGTCGCATAGCTACAAACTCCTTGGTCAGAAAGGCGTTTATAAAACCCGCGCCAGCAACAGTCAAACGATCCAGCACACGCGTCTCAGGCATGGCAGCAATAATGGTGTTGGCGACATCTCGCGGCGAGCGCGCAGCGTTTGGCGTATCCTTCAGTACCGTAAATATGGACATGGCCGAGTTGCACTGGTAATCGCCAAATTTGGTGTTCTTGGTGTTGGTGCGCGTGACCTCCACAGGCGGAATGGCCAGACCAGGATACGCGGCTTTAATGGCTGCGTCAAATATGGACTCGACCACTTCTAAGATGTTGTGATAGGTCAGACCCTGCTCCACTTCCTTGTCCAGCTTGAACGTAGAGCGCACGACATCTTTGACGGCCAAAGTCCGAGTGTTAGCGGCCACGGTAGGAGCACCATCGTTGCCTTTTCGCCCAGCACTCTTCATGCTGTCCACACCCTTGACAATGTCCTCGCGGGTAAAAAGTTGAGACACGTACTTGCGGAATGTTTGGAGCACGGCAGTCTCGTCCTTTTGTTCCTTAACGACCTTGAATGCGGCACGCAGCGTGACACCAGCTACAACGTCAGCGAGAGAAAGCTCGGGACCATAAAGATACGCTAGATTACTATTTGTCTTGGATCGAGCCTCCTCCTTGGCTTCCAATATTGCTGCCAGTTCACCAGCTAGCTCACTAGACTTGTTGCTACCTGCTTTGGCCGCGCGAAGCCACGGTGAAAGCGTATTCGCCTCCCATTCCATCCATTCATCCACTGCTAGATCATCACTATGCAGCTGATCGGCGGTTGCAGCCACGTAACGACAAATGGCATTGGCCGAGAAGAGCAGCTCAGTGGCCGACTTGATTGCCAGTTGTGGGCCGTACCTTGCATATAATTTGTTTGTATTCCCCACAGTAAAGTGCGTATTAGTAAGTGACAATGTTAGAAAACATTTAAGCTCTTCATCGTTAGATTTCTTGCCAATTAAAAGCTCCATAATAGATAAATGAAGACAAATGGAGACGAGAAATGATACGATCAAGTGATCAAGTGAGTGACGAAAGAACGTATTGATCGAATGGCTAGAAAGGTTTCGAAAGGTTTCTATAGTAGCATAGAAACGACAGAAAACGAAGTATCGTGTATACCCTTTATTTTTTGTCATCAAGCGGACATAATTATTTGTCGAGTATACATTGAGGCGTTATAATATGACACAATACAAACTCACTTGGACCCCTCATTATTAACACTCAATTGAAATCCATCCATGAGTAGGCGCTCTTCGTCCGACAGTATGCGACGCAGTGCGGCGATGCAGCGTCTAATTGACAATGCAGATCATTCTCTGAGTCTCTTGGCATCTTTAGGTGATGTATCGAACCCTGATTGTCCTCGTAATGTAAGCCTCGCGCCAGACAATTCGTTCGCCACAAGCTCCCAGAATTTCCACCTTTTGTCCACTATGGACCGTTACTCAGTGAAGGACAATGATCGGTTAAGTACGGATGATACTAGTGATGTAGCGAAACATAAGAATGACATGGACGATGAAAATGCGCATTTACTGGAGCCCGTGGTCCACACGTCCGTGCATCACGGCCTTCTACACGTTAAAGGTGTATTTCCTGACCAATCGACCGAATTTGTGGACGTGGATCCACGTATGACTACAGTAAAAGATCTTAAATACGCTTTATGTGAACGCAGAGATTCCATACGAGCTTTTGGTTTTTCAGCTAGAGACGCCCGTGTCATGTTTGGTGGACAGATTGTTGAGGACGCATGGCTCGTCGTGGACTGTGGTATCGGATTTGAAGGAGCTATATATATTTTCAAGGCTGCAGCAGTCATGGACAGTTCCTTAGGCCGAGGAGGCAGTCTATTTGACGGCAGGAAGCCGCAAGAGACAGATTCCAAGCTGTCTATTTCTTCAATATCTTCCGTGTATCAACAGGAACAACTGGGTAATGACCAGGTGATGAATGAGCTGGCAACGTTCGACCAATTGCTGTCTCTTGGCAATATGCCGTCGACCAAAGGCGCCTTGTTCTCGCGTCACGTGCGACCGGAAGAAGCTTTGTTTGCAGAGATGGCAGCGAGCTTTTATGATAACTTGGAGCGTGTGCAGGACTCAGATCTGTATTGTGAAAAGCTGCTGAGTAGATACATTGACGTACTGCAGACTAGACTGGAAGAACTTGAAGCTGCGGTCTCAGGCAATAGTAAAACTCGTGGGACGTCCATGATGGCGCAGAAACGGCTACAGAATGACATTAGTGAGCTGCGCGACGAACGCAATACTTGGAGACTGCTTTTTGAGCTGCGTCAGGTGTGCCATACAAGTAAGGAGCTGGCGGACAGCGAGGACAGATTAGTGATGCTTGGTGAAGAGGAGCTACGGTTTGAGATGCTGGAGGACGACGCGGTACGGCTACTGGAATTACGTAATGAACCGTTTAAGATTCAGAAGGCGGTAAAGGCGTGGCTGGAGAGTATAGCGTTGGAGAGGACGATTAACATAAGCAACAAGCTAAAAGCAAGCGGATCGCGCACGTTGAGAATGATGCGGAAACAAGGTTTTCCGGGTAAAGAGATTCATATGGACCCTGATGCGGTGTTGCGAGACGGGGATGATCACATCCAGCCTGATGACATGGAAGACGAAGCGGAGTTGATGAAGGCTATCTGGTTGTTTGTCCGTGCAGGACAAATGGACGAAGCGATTGATCTGTGTATCCGTTTAGGACAGTCATGGAGAGCAGCAAGCCTCTCGGGAGGCAACCCTGTTGGCGCTAGTGAGACGAGCGAGCGCGAAGATCTGTTGCTAGAGCGATGGGGAAACCCGTTTCGTGCACTTTGGAAGTCAATGTGCTGGCGCTTGTCAGAGCAAGTTGATGGTGGAAAAGTGTCCAAGAGCAATAGCTTACTTGCGAAGAAGTACGAGAAGCTTATTTATGCGGCATTGAGCGGCAACATTCAGATTATTACAAAGAGCTCGCTATGTGAAAGCTGGGAAGACCATTGCTGGGCTTATCTCCAGGGCATCACCGAACAGCAACTTGACGAAATTCTGTTCAAGCTTATAAACGTAAAGGCGCAGTCTTCTCGTTTAATTGTTGGCAATAACGCACACTGTCTACGTCATTTCTCCAGCTTGCTGGACAAGACGAAATATTTAAAGCGCTACCAAGGGGACCTGGACACGCTGTTTGATGAGCTGCGAGGTAGCCAAAGCGAGCTTGTCCGCATGCAAGCCAACCAACCTCACCGCCAAATTCAAGCAAAGTTGGTGACAGCTAAATTTGAGTACATTGTGTCGAGCGTTCTGAAAACGCTACTGTTCGGTCCAGAGGATACTACATACAACTGGGATTTGCAGCTAAACTCGACGGTACAGTCAGACGAGATTTCTTCTGTTTTCCTGCGCTTTGCTGCCCACTTTATCATGTTTTCCGGCTTTACTGGTGAACGCTTTGACGAGCAAGCGGGCCATATGATTTTGAAGCTATATATTCGGCATTTGGTGAAACACCGGCAGCTGCAATTTGTGCCGATTTATGCTTCTCAACTTCCTACAGCTGGTGCGATTGAGATCTATGTGCAGATGCTGTCTTTAGTCGATGATAGGTTAGAGCGTGAGCTTTGTATTAAGCGAATCTTAGAGAACGCTGGTATGGACATGCTTTCTACAGTGTTACAAACTGTAGTCGAGCGTTTGTGTGAAGAATATCGGTTGGTGGCTGAACAACAGCAAGAGAAGATGGGGCAACCGGTGTCTTCTGACGTTCCGACGATGAGTATCGACAGGAGACGAATCCGGACAATCGAGTTTTTGTGCTTTTATCCCGAACATCGAACAGAGGCATTGATCCGTGCAAACATGCTTACGCGGCAGTTTATTCTCGAGGGAAAGTTTGCTGCTGTAAAGGAGCTCGTCGAGGAGAGCTTGCCAGAGGATTCAATTGGAATTCTAGACATGAGTGACATCACACAATTGCTGCGGGCGGGTGACGAGATGGAGCGGGCAATGCGTGAATTTTTTTGCTGGCGTGCATATGTTCACGCTTCTGCGCAGTTTGATCTGTGGAAGAATTGCATGAACAACGATCCAGGTGCAGAGGTGCTGTCATTGTACAGCAAGGAGAAGGATTATTTGGCAGATTTGATGTTTCATGTGTCGCGGTCAGTCGCGGCATTGTTGGAGGTGCTGCACTTTGAAAACGGATGGCTTGTGGGTTGTTCTAACGATGCTGATGAGGATGCTGCTATTCGGAGGCGTTGTTTGCCGGCTCTGGTGTTCAACCTGCACTTTATTCAACTCGAGTCAGCCAAGATGATTATGCGTTTGAGTCATTATCCAGAGTATGCCAAGGCTGAGCTTGCACGGCCGCTACTAGAAAAGTCGATTCAGGTCGCTGACGTGGTAGCCGACGATCACTACGGTGTATACGACGCGCTAGCCCAGGATCAATGCCGGGATCTGCTACATGCCTTCCGTGAAAGTGCTGTTTCGCTAGCGTTTGCTGAAAGTATTGCAGTTTCTTCTGGCTTTGATCAGAATACGCGCAACAAACTACCTTGTGACAATTAGAGATAAAGACGACACAGCGTACGTGAATTAGCCACAATAGCAACCAGACTATCTCTGTTTGGATTTGCTTCTTTTCCGATGGTACATGTAACACGGCAATCTGATGGGCTGGGTTGAGCGTAGGAGAGGCAGTCTTGGTGTAAGCTCGATTGGGACGAAGATATGCAATCTTCAAGTAAACACTCTTATGGGGTATGCACCATTTAGCGGATGTGATATCCTGGTTGATTCCATGTCCACGCATGATAGTCACAATTGCCAATGTTTTACACCAGGAGCGTGCTTTCAAGGCTACACCCGGGTAAAGTTGCTTCCAGTCGTATGTCCTTCGTATCTCTATGCGTTAACATACGGGCGTTTGGGCCCATCTTCCGCTTTATCACTTTTAAGACTTATACGAACGGTATCTATATTGTGGCATATTTGGAGACGACTTTCCCTGAAATAGCACGTGATAGCCCCCTGACAAATCTTCCACATCGGACAAGCGCCAGCTCCTTCGATGGAGAAGATCCTTAGTAATGGGGTATTTTGAAGTCTCCACTTCAATGTCTTTCGCACTGGTGAGAATGATAGATAGAATGGCGTTGTGGTGCTGTTGGTCATAATCAAAGAAGGAAAGCGAAGAAATAGAGGACAGTCGGTACACTTGGTGCTTCAAATAAAGGAGCTTACTCTATATTTCGCAGCGGCCTTACCGCGTAAGTGTATCACCAACTCAGCGTTACGTACAAAGTCTGCCTACAATCAGACGCACGTAAGATATACAAGGTGTAATTGCCGTCAGCAAGCGATTCCAGCAGAACGTCATGATTTAGTACACTCCACTTTTGCTACCTCAAAATACCAAAGACCTCACAACTACTTGTTAACGGCATTGCCTGACTACATCACAGCTTTCAACTTCATGCAACATCGCGCCGTTTTCAGAACGACCTTTAGACAGTCACCTATCATCAGCAGGTATGCTAGTCAAAAGCGCATGCTATTGAAAAAGTAAGTGATGAGCCATGATGTGCGTGGTCACAAAAATTTTGGGCTATAGAAGTACCTTGAAGGGGTCGCTGGAGGGAACCGAAGCAATGAATCGTCCAAATGAGAGTCGAAAAGCACGCTTTCAGTGCGATGCGCACCGGCGATACGTTCTCAAGGAGGTCGATACGGTATGCAAGTATTCATCCCTCCTGAAGATTGTTTGCAACATCAAAGGTAAAAGACATTCAAATGTGCTTGGATTGTGCCGGTGTGACTTTCAAATACTCAAAAACATGCCATTGGCTTTCGGTCCTTACGTACGTAGCCGACCTACTCGAAAGAAGAGAAAGAGTAGAACGTAAAGCTCAATGTATATGGATGGATAGAGAAGCACCACCTACTTGTCGTCGCCACGATTGAGTGCTCGTGCGAATACGCATAGTGCTGTATGTTCATTGCATGACCGACTCAGCAATTACCAAAGTTAGTTTCTTGTTGTGCTTTAAGATGCCTTAGCCAAATATGATCACGATTAATTGAATACGTGGATTACAAAACGATTTGCTAATGATCGGCAGCATCATATGAGGAGAGGATAGACGTTAGTATCAAACACAGGGGCGTGTTTGCATTCAACGCCCGAGGCCACTGAGTTGTAGTCGAATAGCCAGCAGTCGTGCGAGACGTCAGCTACCTCGTGAATGTGGAGGCCACCGGCAGTGTCTAGGGTCTTCAGACCGTACAGATCTTGAGTGTACTCCACAGTGTCCTTCATGGCGACAATGGTTAAGTCAGCAAACTTAGTCGCAACTTCATCAACTGTAGCAACAGTTGAGTACTTGCCCAACAGACAGCTTTGCCACGGGGACTGGATGTCGTCTTGAGGCGAGGCGAGGAAGTGAGCGGCTTTGAGTTTGACAAAGTTAGCCTTGCGACGCTTCTGGGCAGCTTTGCAGGTGGAGTCCGCACCGCAGTCCTGGAGATTGTTCACCTTTGGAAGGAACGGATTAATGCTCAGCCAGTTCGTAAGAGCATAATCATCCAGAGGAGGATTTATAATATTAGCGATAGAGCTCTTGCCTTGCAGTTTCGTATTCGTCGTCACTAACTCAACCAAGTCGCGCTGAAACTTTCCATTCCACGAGACAAGATCATCCTCATACTTGGAGAAGTCGAAGTCAGCCTTGTCGATAGCAAAAGGGCCCAGAGCCTGTAGCATAACCTGGAGAGGAATGGCATCAGACGCCTGAGGACCGAAAAAGTTACCGTTGCCATCACCAGCCAAGCTGATGAACGAATGCACGTTGTGATCGTCCATCTCTTCAATCACACCACGAGCAATGGAACTGCCCTGTGAATGTGCTAAGAAGTGATAGCCGTCAGCATAGGTGGCAGCATCCTTGGTGACAATGCCGCGCAGCTGCTTCATAGCCATTTGCACCTGCTTGGAGAGGGCCGTGTGGATAGAACATGCGTTCGAGCAGAAATCGAGTGCGATGTACGTGCGTCCATCGGCAGTCAATTTTGCCCCGATCACAGCACCATTGGTTGCGTTACCCGTGGCACCATGGAAGAAGAAAACAGGCAACTTGGTGCCAACTGCGGCCACTTGTGCAAAAACCAATCCGATGACGGCAGTGGTGATAGCAATAAAAAGTGCACGAATATAGAGCATGGTTGAGACGTATCGAGGAGATAGAGCGGTGTTAAGAATGTGCAAAATTGAGAAATGGCGAGGAGTGTTGTCAAAAGGACGGCTGCGGAATACCGGCAGATACCGGTATGACCTTCACTCAGCAGTACCGCAATCATTCCTGTGATTATGGGACAATGTTTACGCCACACGTGGGTACAAGATTGTGGGGTACATGATGGGATCCGCTGATTGGCTGAAGTAACTCAGTATCCAGTAAAGAATCCAGTAGAGTGTATCCAGTAGGTAGGACAAGAGGCTTAGAAGCTTGTGAACTAAGGACCTAAATCAATCACTTTGCATTTTGCACCAAACTACGAAAGTGACCCTTTCTTTAGGTTATGAGCCCAAACCCCGCAGACTCTGCCCCCGCCTTCAACTCCGACTTCGCCTACGCCATGGACACCTCCGCTCCGACCCGAATCAACAAGTTCGACGGAACCAACTTCCACACGTGGAAGTTCAAGATGCAGATGGTGCTCGAGGAGCGCGATTTGTGGGAGATCGTGAGTGGAGAGGTGAAGCTGGAGCACTGCGCAACCGTTTTGGAACAAACGGGGTTCAAGAGGAAGTCGCGCAAAGCGCTCGCAATCATCTGTCTCGCAATGGAAGACTCGCAGCTACCATTGGTCCGGTCAGCTAGTGGCGCGCATGATGCATGGTCAAGACTGGAAGGACACTTCGAGAAGAGGAGCCTGGCCAACAAGCTCTTCCTTCGTCGACGTTTCTTCACGACGATGATGGACGAAGGTGATGATGTGCTGGAGCACATTAACAAGCTCAAGACTCTGGCGGAGCAGCTCGACGCGGTCGGCGCTCCGGTCAGTGAGGACGACTTGGTGATCACGCTTCTTGGAAGTCTGAGTGAATCGTACCAGTTCCTCATCACGGCGTTGGAGTCGAGAGCTGACACGCTGACATGGGAACTCGTGACGTCTCGGCTACTACATGAAGACATGAAGCGCAAGGAACAAAGTGGCGGTGCCGAAGGAACTGCGCAAGGTCAAGCGTTCATGACTAGTGACAACAACAAGCGCAGAGGGCGTCCGGAGAAGAAGAAGGTCGGAGCATGCAACTACTGCGGCAAGCAAGGACATTGGATCGCAGAGTGTCCTTCGCGGATCCAAGACAACAACAACAACCGACAGCGGTCACAGCGTGCGAATGTGGCGCGCGAGGACGAGGATGCCAGTGACTATCTCTTCTCGGTTGGTGGTGGGAGCAGCGCCAAGTCGAGTAATGCATGGCTGATCGACTCGGGTGCGACGCAGCACATGACGTGTTCCAAGAAGTTCATGAAGAACTACAAAACCTTTGACCCAGTTAACGTACATCTCGCGGACGACAGTGTGGTACAGGCGATCGTCAGTGGCGACATTGTGATGACAATGAAGACTTTGCGCGGGATCAAGAAGGGTGTGCTCACCGGTGTGTGGCACATTCCAAAACTTTCACGCAACTTTTTCTCCGTTGGACGTTTCACCAAGGATGTTGGACCGGTGATTTTTGAAAGCGATGGGTTCTTCGCGGAGTCGAAGAATCTCAAGTGGAAGCTCGGCGCGAGAGCTGGCAAAGGATTGTTCAAGCTGTGCATGACACCGGTAATGCCTAACGAGGCCAATGCGGCAAGTTCGGAGGATCGCAAAGGGGACACCACGTCGTACCTCTGGCACCTTCGACTTGGTCACATTGGCCATGGCGGTCTAGACGCCATCGTCAAGAAAGGCTACGGTATTGGTCTCGACATGACGTCAGTGAAGCAGTGGGAGGTGTGCGACGGATGTTCACTCGGCAAACAAACGCGAGTGAGCTACATGAAGTCATCGTCGAACCGTGCGAAGGAGCTGTTGGAAGTGATTCACAGCGATGTATGCGGCCCGATGCAGACGTCGACTTTCAGTGGCAAGCGCTATTTCGTCACGTTCATCGACGACAAGTCGCATTTTTGCGTCGTGTATTTACTCCGAAACAAGTCGGAGGTTGCCGCCAAGTTCGCTGAGTTTGTGGCATTCGCTGAGACTCAAACCGGCAAACGTGTGAAAGTGCTTCGGAGTGACAACGGAGGTGAGTACACCTCGGGCGCGATGGCCAAGTTCTGCAAGGATCGCGGCATCAAGCAGAAGTTCACACCGCCATACACGCCTCAGCTGAATGGCGTCGCGGAAAGGATGAACCGGACGTTGGTGGAGTGTGCGCGCTGCATGATGGAGCATGCCGGGATGTCCAAAGAATATTGGGGTGAAGCGGTGATGACTGCTACGTTCCTCCGAAACCGGTGTCCGACACGCGCCATCAATCTCGACAAGTCGCCGCACCAAGTGTGGACTGGCAAGAAGCCACTGTTGGCGAACCTGAAGGTGTTCGGTTGCCATGCGTATGTGCTCGTTCCGAAGGAAAAGCGGTTCAAGTTTGACGCTCGATCTGTGAGGTGCCGTTTCCTCGGGTACTCGGAGCATGAGAAAGCGTATGGATTTGAGGAGCTATCGAGTGGCCGAATTGTGGTGAGTCGCGATGCCAAGTTTATGGAGGACATCTTCGACAGTGGAAGACGCGACTATCGTATGTCTAAAATGTGCGTCGTCCATCAAAACAAAGACGACGATGAAGGATCAACGGACGGAACGACGGACTCAGATGATGCTGAAGAAGAAGAGTGGATTGCACCGGATGGCAATAACAAATTTAACCCCGGTGACAAGCGGCATCCTCGAACACAGTCGCTGGAACAAGTATCGGAGATCCCACACCCCAAGCGTCAGGTACCATCGACTCAACACTCAACGCTCAAAGACATGTCTGCGACTGCTACGGATCGAATGGACTTCGAGGCGGCCCACGTCGTGTATTCAGTGGGAGAAATGCCGACCACGTTCAAGTCGGCTATGGAATCCAGCGACGCGGACAAGTGGAAGAAAACGTGTGGCTCGGAATGTGACGCGCTACGCAAGAACAAAACCTGGGACGTTGTGCCACTGCCGAAGGGACGCAAGGCCATCGGTTGCAGAAGGGTGTTTCGAGTCAAGGAGAACCATGATGGCGAGATCGAGCGGTTTAAGGCGCGTCTAGTTGCCAAGGGATTTTCGCAGAAGTTTGGCATCGACTATGACGAGACGTTTGCACCAGTGGCCAAGTTCACATCGATCCGAATCGTGCTCAGTTTAGCTGCGAAGTACGGACTCAAGTTGCACCAGATGGATGTGAAGACTGCGTTCCTGAACGGTGAACTGGATGAAGATATCTACATGGAGCAGCCAGACGGCTACGTTGATGAAGACCATCCGGACTACGTGTGCAAGCTCAAGCGTTCGCTGTACGGACTGAATCAGTCGCCGCGCATGTGGAACCAGACCATCGACGATTTCATGCTAAAGATGGAGTTCGCCAAGTGCGAGTCGGATCACTGCGTGTACGTCAAGCGGGAAGGCGACGACATGACTTTTGTGGTGCTCTATGTGGACGACTTGATCATCGCGAGCAGTAAAGACGAGCTGATGAAGTCGACCAAGAGTGCTCTCAGCGATAGGTTTGAGATGACGGATCTCGGCGAACTCAAGTACTTCCTCGGGATGGAGATCAAGCAGAACCTCGCGGCTGGAGAAGTATCGCTGCGACAGTCCAAGTTCGCGCAGACCATCCTGACCAAATTCGGCATGCAGGACAGCAAACCTGTGAAGACTTCACAAGACCCTGGACTCAAGTTGACAAAAAACATGTGCGAGTGTGGCTGCCACCACGACGAAACCATGGCAGGTGTACCATATCGAAGTGCCATCGGTTGCCTGATGTACTTGATGGTGGGAACACGCTCGGACCTTGCGGCTGCAGTGGGAGCTCTCAGTCAGTTTGCTTCGGATCCATGCCCCACGCATTGGCAGACACTCAAGCGAGTATTCCGGTACATCCAAGGCACAAAGCCACACGGCATCGAGTTTCAAGCAAGTGATACGGACGGTTCGCGGCTATTCGGATGCAGACTTGGCAGGCGATGTGGAATCTCGACGCAGTAAGAGCGGATACGCATTCATGATGAACGGCGGATGTGTGAGTTGGCGCAGCAAGAAGCAACGAACTGTAGCACTATCGTCTACGAAAGCAGAGTACATGACGTTGTCGGAAGCCACGCAAGAGGCAGTGTGGCTCAAAGCGTTTCAGCGTGAACTCGGCGAGATGGCAACCGATGAAGCTGTCAAGATCTACGAGGACAACCAAGGCTCCATCGCATAGGCCAAGAATCCCGAGTTTCACAAGCGCACCAAGCACATCGATATTCACTACCACTTCGTGCGCGAGAAGGTGGAAGACGGTCAAGTGGTGCTGGAGTACATTTCGACGAAGAACATGCTGGCAGACATCATGACGAAGCCGATCACAGCCATGCAGTTTGAAGTTCTTCGAAACAAGCTTGGATTTCAAGCGCCAAAGACTGCCGAGTCGAGTGGGAGTGTTGTCAAGAAGACGCCTCGACCAGCTGCGGAATACCGGCAGATACCGGTATGACCTTCACTCAGCAGTACCGCAATCATTCCTGTGATTATGGGACAATGTTTACGCCACACGTGGGTACAAGATTGTGGGTACATGATGGGATCTACGTGGTACTCGCTGATTGGCTGAAGTAGCTCAGTATCCAGTAAAGAATCCAGTAGAGTGTATCCAGTAGGTAGGACAAGAGGCTTAGAGGTAGCAAGTAGGTTGTAAACTAAGGACCTAAATCAATCACTTTGCATTTTGCACCAAACTACAAAAGTGACCTTTTCTTTAAGGAGCACCTCACCGTATACCTATAGCACGTAGTACCTTTGTAGCATGCGTATTCCTATAGAACGCTTGTTCGTCATCACTTACTTCTGGTAAATTGCAGTCATAGCTGGAAACGAAAGAAACAAATTATCGGTAAGAAAAACATTTTCAATCCTCACATTGCTGTTATCGGTCGAATAGACAAAGCCATTCGGAACTTATACTGGCATTTCCCACATTTTAGCGGTCAAGCTCAAGCCAGTCCACGCCTCAGTCCCTCCTCTCGGGCAAACCCCTTCGACAAGATTCCCCCTTCACTGGTGACAGATGAGGAAAGCTACTCGGCTGGCGGCGTCACCGTCTTGCGTCATCGCTTGGACGGTCGCACGAGTCAGTTCAACGGGCCATGGAAGCGGTCATTTTGACGAAGATGCTACATTTGGCATCGTCCCTGCGCCTCGCGTCATTGCTTCAGCGGTTGCACAAGTCAGTTTAGAGTGCCACACTCTTCAGATTAACGAGCCGCGCAAGCAACCTCTACGACATACCATTGGGCACGCTCGATGCCAAGCAGAATCACGGACACACCTAAGAGACGCCCCGGATCTAACTCGACCCCGGCGTTGTTCGCTTATCTTGTGTCATTCCAGGCATCTTGTTTACCATAATGTTGCAATAGACAGTCTCTTCATTTTTCTTTAAAATACGAAGGGTACCATTAACCTACATTACAAACTGCTAACATTATTGCAGCAAACAAGAGAGCTAGCACATACAATTGAGCTGCTTTAGTGTGGTAGTGACGATGCATTTTCAAGACCCGGTTGCAGTGTCGTGTTGATAAAGCAAGCTAAATGTCGCATTAAGAGTTGTAAAGTCCAAGACATTAGCTCGATCTTACTGAGCGGCTGATTTTGATCATACTGATACCTAGTTGGAGACTCGTTCTGTTTGCAAGCAGTTGATCGGCATAGCAGTAGATTGATTACAAAAAATACTCTGATATTGATGCATTTTAGGAGCTTACTATACGATTGCTATGGAGTGTTGCGTCCGCAAATCATCGACCAAACTCCTCGAGCAGATAACTAGTCCCATCAACCTTCTATAAACAAGACCATCATGAAACAAGAGAGCGTGCATCTAGAGCGCCAGAGAGCGTTGCAATTGTAGCAAGTTTGCGTACAATAGCCTGAGAAAACGGCTACAGCATGTTAAACTAACTGTCCGCATTCGTGCGCTAGCCCCCCAATATTAAATCCTGATCAGGCTGGTACAACTTGCTATCGCGACTAAGGACTTCCGTAATGGACAAATCTCGACGGGAGCGACGGTGCACAAGTGCTTGATCTTCACAAAAAAATTTTAAATCTGAAAATCGTTGGCATGAAGCACACGTTAAGTACAAAGAAGTTTGTGCGGTCTAAAGGTGCAAGATGCTGTGGGCTATCTCAACCTTCACAGAGTGTTGGTATCCACGACATGTCCTCAGCTGCTAGATGTCCATCCAAACTCGATGTAATCAACTTCCTAGCACGACTCGTGTACAGTGTTAAGCTCAATCTGCTTTTGTCCAAGTTGTCGTTGGAATCGTCAAACATAATAACCTACACTTATTGTGATAAATACATCCGATACTAATGCTTTGAAAAGATTCAACGTTACATTCGCTTCCGTTCCGTATCTTTTCTTCACTTGTGCAAGGCATGGTCTCACTCAAGGGTGTTATAGATTTGGCTTGAAGTTCTTGCTTTGCACCACCATGATAACGTCATGTTTGATTCTTCCTTTTTAAGCTTTGCAGCTGGGCTTATACTTAGATGGCCGAAGACTGTGACACCAAATGGCGTGAAGCCCAGAATAGTAAGCATCACTTGAAGTGGAATAACGTACGATGCCGTTGTCCATTAAAGTTGCCGATGTCATTTCCATATGTAACTCTGTTGCCTTGATAAAGAGCCAGCATCTGGTAGTCGTTCGAAACCGTGTAGTAACCGTGGCGCGATGCCGCCAGTTAGGTCACTGTTTGCGCACTTATAAAAAATTGACGTGCGTAAAGAGCGTGAACTTCTGACAAAAGTAGAGCGCTTCGTACGTGCGACCTACATTTTCGGATCCGCTAGGTTAAATTGGTCTTTTTGCTTGTCCCACTTTAGAAAAAGACAGACACTATCGAGCTTCAATATACTGTAAGCGACTGCAAATTCGACGCCGAGTCAGCATCAATGCCAAGATCCAGAATGGCACCGTGTGGACAGCGCTTTTGCAAACGGAAATTCAATGAGGGGTGCCACGACAGCATTACAACTAAACACTTCGAGTGTCTGTCTTGGAAAAGCAAAAGATTGCACGATGCTGGAAGCAACTTTGCAACTCGAGATTAATAACAAAGTAAACTATCTCGTAGATTCGTGAGCAGCAGTAGAACTATTACGCTGACTTGATCGATCTATCTGCAGTACTGATGGAAGCATCAGCTCATGAGGTACCATGGTTTTGTGGCTTTTCTGACTACCGATAGCTACAAGAGCTGATAAGGAGCATGTTTCGGGCCGACAAGAACTGTACCTTGGTAACCATGGCAAAGATTATAGATCGATTCTTACAGCTTGGGTATTATTTGGTATTGCGTCAATTATTCACATCCCGCTCAGCATTATCAAGCGTGACCGTCAGGCCACTTAACCTCTTCAGCGATGGTTATTCATGCACTATTACATCTTGCACGATCAGCCACAGTTGGAAGCATAGTAGAAACAAAAAGCGCAGCGTAGAGATAGAACTAAACTTTCGTAGGCAATCCACTGTTCGATCAGCACCGTTAACATCTTCGAATTAGTCACTCGTTATTCTAGAGGACTGTAGATGATCCGTTGAAGGCCTCCGCGTTGCTCCGACACTTGAATGACCATTTTTAGGTCCATAATATCCCCGGCATCATCTTTAAGCGATGCGATCAATAGACCACAGTTGATCAATTGACTCGACTGAATGTCAGATACGTTCACTCGTGGGGTCTACATATCGTTTCGTAGATTTTAGCGTTGACAATTGTCAGTAAGGTACAAAAATTGTTGTACTACTCACCGAAAAATGCAAACGGTTGTCGCCTTGAGCATAGCTAGTGGCCTCTACTTGACCTAGTTGTGCACACACATTACATTAATCCTTGTTTGGTTAAGAAAACAATCGGTCGTGCGTGGTATGAAAAGTCTAGATAACGCAATAGATAGAGCGGCATGGAAAGGATATTGATCATGTGGCGATTCGTGACAAGGTCTACCAAATACTTATCATGGCACAAAACAAAAACAAGTTAAGTAGAGAATAATACTACCGACTATTTTGTTTACAGCCCACCTCGATATCCCATATCCCGTTGGTGATGGGCGTTTCCAGATGAAATCTCACCTCCAGATTGAGCTCGTCGGCGAGTGCGGCTGGATTGGGCGAGACATTTACGGCCTTGACATCTACTGACGGTCGGGAACGCAATACGTCTTTTGCCTCTTGCTGCTTGGTTTCGCTCATGGATCACGAGGCTTTTTTCGTCTTTAAATGTATTTGTGTCAATCAATATATGTGTGGCTCGTATTTTAGTTTGTATACAGCACTGATGTATTTGGTCGATATGTTAGTAGAATAAGGTAGATCAATTAGATAGGAAGCACTGTCGTTTTTTACCAGATCAAAATTCTGTTTTCAGAACAAGACAGGCATTACTGATTTGTACGCATTGATGGAAGAGGAATGCTTAGTATGTAAGTTGTTTATGACGGACTATATTGTACATCCATTGTGTAATTTAGCCTCAAATGTATTGTAATGGGGACGAAGTATGTATGTACCTTGAGAATGATTATACTTTTTTCGCAGTTTTGATCTGGAGCAGTAGACAAAAGGATGCAGTAAAATGCTGCTCACGTTTACTGGACCAAAGTCAACCTATTGCCGGAATCTTCCGACACTAGAAACCAATTCTCGGTTATATTGGGGCCATCTTCTCCACGCCTGAGCGCATTTGTGCTGGAGACAAGTTTCACTCCTCGCACGAGTCGCTAAAGAGAAATGAGTTTGTGCACGTCTTGAGACCTAATAATTTTACCAGAATGTTAAGTGATCCAATAGCGCATCAGACATTGGGTGCGAAGTTGTACCAAGTCATTGCAATGCGATGACGTGCTGCTTCAAAGACGCATTACAGGTTGTGACACAAAATCCAATGAGCTGTTACTAAGTTAACAAGACGTCATATGTGCGCAGAGCGACTGTGGCACGTCAGGCTTATAAGCATTCAGTACATTTGCGTCTGCTGACAACAGAATAGCGCAACCGTTTCGAGAAGCGATGAAAACCTTCACGACAAACGATCGTAGAAAACGCTTGGACTGCTGTATTTCTTTCTGACTCGTCGCTTGCTTAAAGGATGTCAAGAACTTGCCTGATGTAGTCCGAGTTTTACAAAATGGGTCCGGAAGAGGTCCAGCTTCTAAAATTGATTTGTCAGAACTTTACCGGAATTTATGTCTCCAGTATAGTGTCTGTCTGTATACCATAAATGACCAAATATACCAGTTACCAAGTTGCAGTCTCAAGGCAAGGCTCAACGTTTCTTTAGCGTCGTTGTCCGTTCCAGCCCATTAATCTCAGCTATTAATTCAAGCTATCTGTCTAAGCAATAGATGCCCGTACCTGCCAGTTGCACAGCTGCTAAGGCGCCTTATAGCACCAATTCGCAACCTTCTGGGAGTCCCAAGTCCGTGCATTTCGCAAGCAACAGAGAGCTGGAGACGTGTAGACCGCAGCTGGCGTCGCACTATCTGACGCCCCCCATTGGCACGCCCTGTGCCAAAAAATGGGTCTACTACACGGCGCTACACAATTGACGAGGTGGAATTGTACTTTAGTGAGGACCGCCCCGACTGTCCTGTTGGTCTGAAAGATTACGCGGTGCAAAAAGCTGCCAGTCACGATACCTTTGTGCTCTGCGGGTTTATTGAAACTTGTCGCGTAAAAATGGGCATCACTTGCTGGACCAAATATTGGGCCGAACTGTATCATGGAATTCTGGTCTTTCGTAGATGCAAGGACTCAATTCGGCGTAAAAGGTCGTTCGTTCCAGTAGCTAGTTGCAATTTGAAATTTCTCAATTTTCAGCAGAAAATGATGCAGATAGAATTTCTATATCAAGGCAAGAGTGATTCGATCATTTTACGCTTCCAGACTGAACAGGACATGTTTCTATGGTGGTGGTCCATTCAAGTGGCTGCCCGGGTGCAAATTGAGCCTCAGCTGCTTCATAAGTGCATGAGTCGGTCAACGCTATCACCATTCCAAATCAAAGAGGGGACACATCAAGTGGATAATGTCCTTTTTCCAAAATGTAACCACTCGGTATTTGATCCTCTTCAAAAGAAGCTGCAAGTTCCTCGAGGGGTAACGCACCTCATTTTTATTCGTCATGGAGAGACTGAAAACATTAATTTTCGAGTCTGTGACCGAGACAAGAGACTAACGAAGCGAGGAGAGGAGCAGGCTAAGATCACCGCCAAATATCTCAACAAAATGCTTCGAACGCGAGGAAATGGCAAACCAATTATCACTCTAATTTATGGAGGATTGCGAAGGACTGTAGAGACGGCAACGATTTTCGCCAATATGATGCCGTGGATTGGTAACAAGTACGAATGCTGCTTCTTGGAAGATGGCGCTCCCAAGAATGTAGGCGTTTATCACCGCTATGAGTACCGCGAGTCGATGCATAAGATGGCGTTCCAGAACATATGCCGTTGGGATGGAGAAGACAACCTGGTGCGTGGACCGAAGGGCGAACCTGAAAATTTCAAGATTGTTATTGCACACACGAGTTTCATTCAATACTGCATGGCTCAGTGTTATGATGTTCCAAAGGGGATCATCCAGCTGGGTGCTCCAATTAGTCACTGCAGCATTACACAGATCGATCTGAGGGCGAGTGATAAGATCGTTGGCTTGTTTTCCAATCGTGTTACACACATGCCGCTCACCCATCAAACCAGTGAGTAAGATAGATAGAGTGATTAAGTGAGGTAAAACGCAAAAAAATAGCGAGACTTTTGTTATGAACGACATTTCACGTCCAAATCATACGCTCTGGTCTTCATTTTGCTTGGACGGAGTAATAGATCTAAACGCGGAATGAATTGCGAAGGTTTGTCATCGTTCACCCAATCTGTGCAATCTGTTCGACGCATCTGTTGGAGGGAGGGTATCTATAGCCGAAGATGAATATGAGCGAAGTGATAACTAGCTTATCGGCAGAGCTCGGTGGTTGGCAATGCTAGTTGTAAACACGGCCCAAAGTTGCCACAGACTCATGCGTGAGCATATGTGCCGAACCCGATTGATGCCTAAGCGGCTTCACGACTTAGCAACCACCGCTTATAACGAGCACATAGTTTCAGCAGGTAGTACGAACGATATGAACGGGTCACAGAAGATGGTTGATTGCTGACGTGCTCCGCTCGGAGTTGTCGTGTTCATCAGCAGAATTCACAACGTCTGTTGCTGATAAAGCTGACAAGTTGGCTGCTGCATCGATACACACACTCAAAACAATTGTTCCCTGACATCCAGGCTACTGGCGCCGTCAACAATACGACCATTACCCAGAATGTACATTAGTAGCAAAGCAAGCGAGAGCGGCTTAAGGTGGTAGAGACATTGTCTGTACGAGGTGGTAGAATTAGGATTAGAGTCATTGTAGTTGCAATGTGTGAAACTCTACACATTCATGCTTGTACTAATCGTAAGTTTAGTGATCGCCGAGGAAAAGAATGCCGATAAAAATCGAGCATGTACGTAGCTTGCTGCTTGGAACATCCATTCGTGTTCAAACAACGCATGAAAAAGTGCCCCTGCAGTTGCCTGTCCTAATGGCGTCCCAAGAAGCCAGGTCAACATCCTTTGAGCATACATCTTTTCTTACATTGAGAATCGATGAGGATCCACGAGTATTCAATTTACCGACTGCTGATTCAACGAAACGTGAGTTACAGTCTCCCATCTTGACTTAGTTAAGTATCGATCTGTAAACAAAGAGGTCTAGACAATCGACACACAACATTCAGCAATAGGCAACAATTTCTGTTGTCGCGTTGCAGCAAGAACTCGAATTACAATCAAGCAAGAGAATGACTAACCAACAAAACAACGATGGAACGAAAGAGAGATTGTGCCGAAGTCGCAACATGTGCGACCTGATAAGCTATATTATGTCCCAATGACCGGATTCAGAGTCCCTCACCCACAATCACACCATAAGCACCAAGCAAGGTAAACACTGTTTTGCGATCGAAGGACAATTTCTGATGTACAAAGGGTGGTGTTAAGAAACACCGAGGGATATAAAGAAAGGTGAATCACGTCACAATAATGGAGCTTGAAAACTTGTTTTTGAGTCCACACCCACAATAAATCACAGACCTTTAGTACCAGTAAGAGCGACAAATAAAATGTTACTTCTTGGCTGTCTTCTTGACCGTCTTCTTCGTTGTCTTAGCTGTGGCTTTCTTGCCTCCTGCCTTCTCAGCCGGGGCCTTTTTTGACACCGCCTTCATAGTAGATGCCCTTTTGGTCGCCGCTTTCTTGGCCGGTGCCATTTTTGCTGCCACTTTCTTTGAGGCAGCAACCTTCTTAGCCGCCGTCTTCTTAGCCTTCGGCGCCTTTGTGCTCACGCTGCCAACCCGCTTAACCGTCTTAGCAGATGCTTCCGAGACCTTCAAGCTCTTTTTCTTTGAAGCCGCAGGCTTGCGCAACTCGGGCGACAGCTTGTACGAGCCCTTAACCTGAATGAGCTTGCCGGCGTCTGCAGCCGTTCGCAAAGCCTTGTTTAGGTGGTGACTGGCGTAGTTATCCTTCTTCTTTACTACTATCTTGCCAATGGCCTGACGGGATGACCCGTTACGATCTTTTAGCTCCTTGATGGCATCTACAATGAGCTCAAAATATGACTGGCCACTATCACCCGCGTGATTGACGGCTGGGGCTTTCTTAGCTCGAGGTTTCTTGGCCTTTGGGGCTTCTTCAATCGGTGTCTCTTTCATCGCGGTGGCCGTCTTGGCTTTGCGTGTGGACGGAGAGCGCGTTGGCGCAGGAGAAGCGGTAGTATCCTCCATCGGAGCGGCGGGAGCGGATGGAATGGGCTCAGCGGCCGCGGCCTTTGTGTCGTCAGCAGGGGCCATGGGGAAAAATAACAGGGAAGAGGAAGCGGAAACAGTCGGAGGCGTCGGCGTCGAGTTCTTTTCTGCCAGTCAGACGGATTTTTAGATTTGGACGATAGCAGTTTCCCGCGAAACGTTACTACACCAATCATTGAAGAGTGTGACAGGGTTCCACCAATTATAGAGAAGTAATCGAACCGTTAGGAAAAAAAACAATTTAAGGGACAACGAAAGGTTATGGTGATGACTACATTGAAGCCATTCAACTTGTTCCAACACTGTTTCAATTCCTAAGATTCTTTGTTCGTTATTATGAGCAAGCCTCTCCATAACGCCAATAGATGCCATGATATGATATTCTAGTGGAGTTCATAGCACTCGGTTAGTTATGCGTGACGACACGTACGTACAGGTGGGCAAGGTTGAAATGCTTGCTGGCCTCGAGGTCATGGCCCGCGGAGATAGATATGGTATGCACCGGATCTTCGGCTGGCGTCTGGCCACAAGTTATGCCACGGAATGGAGTGTCGATTGTATAAACATGCAACACAGGGCAAATCGAGCGTATTCACCGTGTTCTTTCTCAAATTTACATCTGTTGAAAGGCGATGGGCTCTAGAAACTCACTGCGAGATCATATCTGACGTCTACGGGTTACGAACACCATCGACTAGGATGATCCTGGCACGGTGGCTACGACGGCGGCAAAGATGGCTCAAAATCAAGCATATTGTAATGGATTAGGCATTTTTCATAAATCCCAGCCTCAACATATGGTGGAATTGTTGTCAAAGACATGCTGAATATCGTCCAAAATGTTGGATTTAAGCTGAGACATCACTTTTTGAACTAATGTTCGGTATTCATTGGTTAATATCGACCATGATATCTAACAACATACCAGCAATCAACAGAACGCACGTAAAGAGTAGTTACTGGCGGGTTCATGTAAAGGTTAAAGCTACTGCAAAGTTCTAATATATGCTTATCAATACTATATAATCAGCAACCTCCTCCAGATCAGATGACAGTGATTCTTCCGACGTGTTGAATCAATCAAAGCTTGCCACGTTCTCTGGATCACATTCATCGTCGCGACGTGGCCTGATTCTACACCGTATTAACCTGGGCCAAGATACTCGCGCTATAAGCCATGAAAAGTAGAGGATTCTTGACAAGCCGATCGCGCCCATCTCTACCCAGAAATTCGGATGGTTCACGACTCTGGCCACTCTGTGAAACAAAATTGTGGATCGTCACATGCAAAGTTTTGAGGTGATGCATGAGAATGAGCTGTACACGAGCTAAAAAGATGCAGCTTTTGTGCCGGGGAAAGTCTCATCCTTTTGCTCATGGCCGATTTTGAAGGACCAGAAACATATTCGACGATGGCTATGTCTGACCAACTACCTGCATCACTACGCTATGGACATCGCGACAGTGATTCATCGGTTGTCACAGATATTGAAGAAGCATGCCACGTGGGTGCGGCTTCAAGAGCATCAGGATATATTTGATGAGATCAAGACGAGGCTCTTGACAGCGCCCGTGTTAGCGCTGCCGAATCATGACGCCTTTTCACGTCGTCTGAGTTTCCATCGGCCCTAGCTGTTGCACCACGATGCCGCGGAGCAGGAGCGCGTCGTGAGTACCAATCGCGGCAGATAAATCCAGCCAAGAAAGCTCATCCCATTTATGACATTGAGTTACTTGAAATGCGTAAAGTTCTCGTGAATTTTTGCGATTGTTTTTTTTGCTTGGAGCAGACATTTTGTCATCTACATAGACCAAGCGTCTTTGCGTACCGCCACAAAAGAGTACGCATCTCAGTAAGCTTATGGCGCGCTGGTTGTCATTCCTTGCCGAGTACACCTTCGCCGTGCAATGCAAGCCGGGATCGACCAACATCATTGCCGATGCGTTGTCGAGGCGTCCTGATTACGATTATCCAGCAGAAGCACCAGTTTTGCCGCCCCAGAGACGGATGAAGATGATAGTGCGGCATGTGTCGCGATCGGTATCAATGCTACGTCTGCGACCAGTAATCTGGTCTTGTAACGGGGCAAGAGCTCCATTTCTTAGCTTATACTACCCAAGGAATCGTGCACGTAAAACGTGATTTGAATCAAAGTGCCGACCAGTTAGCCAGCTCAGCCCTGCATCAGAAGGAAGGTATGAAGTCGATACCGGACCAAATTTAGAAGCAATTAATCGATTGCCAGAATTACTAGTTTCCAAGGACCAAAGTCCATCGGCCAAGGTGTTTGCGGTGACTCGATCTCGATCTCCTATTAGAATATCAGGAAAATCATGCAAGAGGTGTGATACAGCAACTCCAGACACATCGAAATAAGGAGGCACAGGAGCAAGAAGACTGGGCGTGAGATTTGAAGGCCTACTTGAGGGGAGATTGAGTCGATCTGTCCATGGAGACCGCTCACTCGTGCAGTAATATGGCCAGAGGCTACGAGATAAGTGAAGAGTGGCTAATAGTGTATTTTTCCGTTCAGAGGTTCGAGGGAGACGACCGAAAAGGAACGACTAGACTAGTGATACCCGAAAGTCTCCAAGCTGACGTTCTGCATCATTACCACAACAGTCTCGAAGGAGGTCACCAAGGGGTTGGACATACCTATCACCGAATCCGACGGTATTGCCATTAGAAAGGTTTATTCCGAAGCGTACAGAGGTATGTGTGCACATGTGTGGATTTCGAGACTGGGATAGGAGGACCTACGCTGCAGGGCAAGACTCCAGGAAATGTCGAAGCAACATACCGTTTCCAGATCATAGCGATGGATCACATTCCCTCTCTGTCTAGGTCGCACAAATGAAATACCAAGCCACTAATTTGGGTCGACCTGTTCACGGGGTATGTGATGGCCAAGGCTAGTGCGTCGCAAACGGCCCAGAAGATAGCTGAAGGGTACGAAGAATGCGTGTTTCGCCGTTTTGGTGCTAGCGATGCAATCCGCCACGATCCAGAGCCAGGATTTATGTCGGATTTCTTTCAGGCGTTTAGTCGCATGGTGAGCCAGCGTCAACAAGCTACAATGGCCAATCGACCTTAGGCGAATGTATTGCGGAGAGGATGGCTCAGACCCTGACTAGGTTTATCAAGATGTATGTCTCTGATGTCGGACAGCAGGATTGGGACGAGTATGCAGAACGACTAACGTTTGCGATGAACACTGCGCAAGACCGGGTCCGGAAGAAGGCGCCGTTCTGTCTGATCCATGAATGGGATGCTAGAACCACCCTCAAGGCTACCTTATTTGTAGTAAATACGCGACGTCGGGTATCTGGGCCACGCAGATGGAGATATTACATTCAGCAACACTATCAGCGGGCGAGAGCCCAGGTGTCTGAGAACCTACGAGCGGCCAGTCAAGCTTGGGTCCTAGCCCAGAATGAAGGGGTGGTCAACCACAAGATTCAGCCGGGAACTCAAGTGTGGCTCTATCTGGACCGGGTGAAAGAGGGGTACACCAAGAAATTGGCCCACCTCTGGCATGGAGCATTTTGAGTTCTAGAGTTGGTGGGAGAACACGCAGCGCGCTTGGAAACTAATGGTACGGAGTACAGGCTATACCCTGTTGTAAATCTATCCAAACTCAAGACGTTTAGGGATCTTCCCGACCGACCGAGTGCCGCGTTAGAGACGGACGGAATAGATTGGGTCTACTTCGATGAATGCCTGTTATTGGAGGACAGTTGGGCAAGAGAGCTAGAAGAAAGAGAGTACGAGGTCGAGGAGATTTTGGAAGCCCGCACTGGAAAGAAAACACGTTACAAGAGATAGCAACGAGAGCTCCTCGTCCGATGGAAAGGGTAGGAAGAACCCTCGTGGGTGGATGAAGTGGATTTGAATTGTGGAGCCCCTTTCGGGATTTTGAACGCAAGAAGACCAGGAGGAAACGTTTCAAAGAGATGCAAAATCATGAGGAATAGAGGCCGAAACCGAAGATCTTAAAAGGTCGACCAAAGTCTATAGTGGGTAGACCCCGATCCCTCGTTGGTAGACCTTGGTCTTTCGCGTGGAGTGTGGTGAAGAAAACAAAGTGGTGCAAGATTCGAAGGAAGAAGGAAAGAAGAGATACAAGACGAAGACTGGAAGGAAGATGAACGCAAGTATATTAGAAAAAATACTTATCAGGTTGGGACGAACTTGTCCCGGAGACGTGGCACAGAGTACACAGGATAGGGCTCGGAAGAAAGTCGGTTATAGGTGATTCAAGGGTAGTTGGAGTCGGAGACCTTCGGGGCTTCCAGCAAGTTGGCGGGATCTGACCCTTCCTCACAACCTGGTAACCAGTATACCACCCAGCGAGGTCGAAGGTGTCGTAAGCAGGGGTCGAGCAAGATGTCGATATTGCATCCATCGTCACTCATTCCTTTGAAGATCATATCGACGACCTCTTGCCACGCCTGAATCGCACGACCACGACGTTTCTTCCGGGCGTTGTAGTACGATGAAAGGAAGGAGCTGGCGCGCGCTTGATCTTTGGAGATCCATAAGCAGTGGATAACCTCCCAGATCGTTTGGCTGTAGTCTTCGTCAAGACGCAGGTGGGTTGCCTCCAATTCCGCAAACCAGCCCACTGGTTGAAAGGATACGGAGGGGGGGGTCGGCACTCGAGCAGACACCCAAAAGCGGGCGGCCAAGAGGTTCTGGAGCATCAAGGAGTTGACCAACGACGGCTTCTACTTGGAAGGTCGATCGACTTTCCCGTCTGGTGGACCGAACCAGCCACAAGGCAGTTTCAGGCGGTCGACCAAGTCGCTAGGAGTCATCGTCACGACACTCAACGAGTTTACCAGGAAAACCGACCTAGGCTCTACCTCCGCTGCAGTGAACGACTTCACCTGCACATACCCAGGAATGAAGTCACCTTTCGGAAGTGTAGGTGACTCCCCTGGGGTGTAGTCCGCCTTGGCAACTGTGGCGGGGGTCTTCCTTTCCGGAATCGGCTCGGTCTCGGAGCCCGAAGATCCAAACATGGCTTGGACTAATCTGGACCCTAGAGAGCAACCGGTCGGGTAACATAGTCGGCCGAGATAGCTGAAAGCGGCGGGTCGGTAGGCGCAAAGCGACGCCGGGAAGACCTCGACGGAGCTAAGGTCACCCGGACCACCTCGCTGTCGTAGCTTGCAATATCGTTGTTCGGGTCAGGAGATGGTATCGCAGGTAGACCACGGGAGGTCTCCGACTTGGGAGCCGACGAAGCGGGAGTGCTGGTGGTACTCGACTTAGTAGCCTTGGAGACCTTAGCGTCGTCATCGACGATGGGCGCCGAGGTCGCTTGCCTGACACCGGTGTAGGAGGCACTGTGGATGTAGTCACGGGGGGATCTACGGGATCCTTGAGTGAATTCGTGGCATAATCCTCGTACTCCAACTCCGCCACCATGAGAGCGTATCGGCTTTGGTGGTAGTCCATTTGCCACCGCAAATGTTCCATCAGCGCTCTCTCGTGCTGGGGTACCTCTCGCAACTGGACCACGAGATTATTGGTGTCTAGCAGCTCTCTCGAGGCGCTCACTCCTGGTGGTCCAGTAGGCGTCGGGGGAGGGGACGGAAGTAGTTCTCCTCCCGCACGCCTCAAGTCTGCGGCTATACGCGCCTAGGCGGTCCTGCAGGTCACGCAGCATCTGAGGTACGTCTATGGGTCCACCCATCACAGCAAGAGGATAACTCGACGGAGCAATGGGCGGGACACAAGTGACCGTCCCCACGGGGTCCACCACAGCGGAGGAGCTAGAGGTCGACTGAGGGTCATCCACGTCTAGGGGACCCTCACCACCTACGACCTCAGAAGGAACCACGGTAGACTCCCTTGGCCCAGGCACCTGGAGAGGAGTGTTAATCGGTGTTTGGGATGGAACCTGAGCCTCTGGGTCAATGGCAAGGGCAGGAGTGTCCAAGACCGGCCCCTCGGCCGTTTGGTCTACCCCAGAGGAAGGAACAGCTGAGATGCGTCAAGTTAGACAACGCATATCGAAAGGCCACACAAACAAGGATTTCTTACAGGATGGAGGATTCGAAGACATGCACGTGTTCAAGCGGCTGTACCGTTGATCAAGTGCAGAGGGCGGCTGTGGTGAATCTTTTCAAAAATTGGTAGTCCAGAGGACCAATGGGTCTAAGAGAAGAGGACCCACCAAGGAGGAGTGACCGTTAGGTAAGGGACAGAGAGACGAGACGCTAAAAAAGGGACGGGGGAAGACCGTTGGATAAGGAGATTGTACGATTTAAGTGTGCTTCATTAGGTGGAGTTAACCGCGGTTAGTCTGATGGACCTCGGTTCCTCGAGGTGAACCTCAGCCTTTTTGAGGGTGACCCTGGCCCCTCGTTGGTAGACCCTGGTCCCTCGTTGTTAGACCCTGGTCCCTCGGTCGGTGGACCCTCTACCCCTCGGCTAGCAGAATCAAAAATCAGATTTCGGGGGTAAGGATAGCGTAAAAGAAGCTAAAAGGTAGAATTATATTAAATACTACTCAATTTGCGATCTACATAGCACCTCCGTCGTGCTTCCAAGGTACTTACTAAGTCTATCCACCTGTTCCGGGAAGGGATACATTTTGGCCCCCCGTCGAAGACAGTTGTGTGTTAAGACCCAAGTGCGAATAGAACCCCAGGATACATTTGGCCTGAGGGTTCGTCCGAGCATCACCCCCCAACTCAACCCGCTATCGAAAGCTGTCTCCCTACCCTAGTGATCCAGGAGCATGTAAAGGTCAGGCGGTTAATACCCCTGAGACATCAAGGAAGCAAAAAGCCGGGTTTGAGTATCTCCCCTGAAAAATTTGGTTATAAGTCCACCCTCGACCTAGTCGACCGAGTGGCCACCTACCCGCCTACCAAGTGTAGTATACCCACTCGAAGTATACCCACTCGAGGCACTCCAAGGTCGACCTCTCTCAAGGCCGACATCACATCTCAACCAAGTCCTCCGAAGAGTGCTACCCGCCTGTCGACGGGCACACAA